TTTTGTATGTGAAGATGTAGGAACCATCCTAATTGAGATTTATTACGACGTTAATCCGGCCAATTGTGCGAACGAAGTTAAACCGTTGACCTCTTAGTTGACGATCCGAAAGGATACACGGAGCACGTGCCACTTCATGCATATAAATAAATAATGTCACTTCCATATTATAATAGAAAAATCTATACCAATTTTTCACTCATTTAAATATTTACTTTGCTGCAAAACGCATTCTTTTTTTTTCGAAATTTTTTTATAAAGTTTATGATCTTCCTAATATTTGGCCTGTATTCAGTAATTTTTTTAAAAATATTCACGAATTATTTTTGACAAATATAAAAAATAATTAAAATTAGTAATAGCATAAATATCACATAGCTTTCAAACAAAAAATTCAATAAATAACTGAAAAAATTAAAGAATTAAATGTAATTAATTAATAATTTGTAATTGATAAAAGTTATCTATTCAAAGTTTTAAATGTTTGTGAAATAGTCACGCGATTCGCACCAAAAGAAAACGTTCGCGATCATAGAGCTCATAAGCATAAATCTGTGGCGGTATTTGGCGGTTGTTCTACCGCATAAAGCAACTTATGGCCCATTTAACGTGAACCCACTTAGTAACATTACGCGTACAATCTGCCCTTGATATTCGTAATGAAGCACATTATGCCACCGCTAGAAATGGGTACCCATCGATATCATCGCAATAAATCACATAACCGCATGATTAACTCCATAATTAAAAGAAACTTAAGAATACACCATATCGAATCATTTAAGCGCTTCAAAGTTTTTTTATCAGACCCAAAGATTTAATTTAATCTATAATACGGAAAATAATTCAATATCAGGTATTAATATTATTTTAAAAGTTATCCTTTTTATTAAATTATTTGAATTTTTATTATTTAAATTACAATTAATAATAGTTTATGAACTTTTGTCATTTAATGTTGAAAATTCGAATAATTCAAAATAATTTATGATACATCGAATAATTAAATTCAGGCATTTTCATTTTCTGTTTTTGAGAAATATTTGCTCAATTATCACTCGTGTCTCTCGCGTATGTAAAAGTAATTTGACCGAAATCATTGTTTTATCTCTATTCAGCAATGTTTAAATCGCTATTAATATGTTTAAATCGAATTAGGTTTGACCTATTTTAGGAAAACTTTTTGTCATCTTGCGCTCACATCGAATGTTACGAATATTGTAACAGTAAGCGTATATCCTGTTTTTGTGCCAGTTTCATAACAAAGCGAATACCGTTTGTACGCGTAATAACGATAGCAATTACTAATAAGTTCAGAGAGTTCATAAATTCTGAGCTAAATTTCAATAATTGTCTCTCATATTCTTCTGTTATGTTCGATTTAACTACTCGATTAACTATTCGATTTAATCCGAAAATTATATATATTGGTATATTTATTTTTTATTATATTGGTATATTATATAAAATTAATATCCTATAAAATATTCCTTATTTCCATGTATAATTATATATTAATTAATTATTAATAATTAATTATCTATAATTATCTATATATATTTGATTTTATATCTATAAATATTTAAAAATATTTTTGATTTTTATTTTAAAAAAATAAAAAATAAAAATTGTTATATTTAAAAAACTAAAAAAACTAAAAAATTTTTAAAATAAAAAAACTATATAAAAAATGCGTTGAATACGAAAAAAAAAATGCAAAAGAAAACATTACTGAAAGAAAATTGAAAAATATAGAAAGCAAGATGAAAATGGGCGCGAAAACTCACCAGTGGCGCAGGCGCTTCCAGCGATCCAAATGAAATAGACAGCGGCAAACAAAATCCGCGTCCTCGTACTTAAGAAGGTCGACAAGTCCGCCACAACATTTCTCCACAGCATCTCCATGTTACTTGGTAAATTCTTTACCACTCTTACCACTTGCACTTTTTTACACTTCACTCTATACGAGCATCATACAATTACACGATCAAGTTACGAAAACGTGTACCAATTCCTATATGATCTCCGCATTTTCGAGTTCACGTGCAAATTCAATCTCAATTTTTTTTAATAGGCGTAGCGAAAGAGCATTACGACGTACACCTGTGAGACAACATTCCTTTTAGTTGCATTCGTAGTCCCTCCTTTCGAAACATTCGTACCGTTTTCCATTCAACTTTCTGATATAGCAATCAGTATTTCTTCTTTGTTTTTAAATTAGCAAGTTAAATATATAAATTTTCATGTTAAATAGTATTAAGTGTCATTGAATGCTTTCTTACAGTTCATTGTCGGATTCCGCATCTTCGTTCAAAAATATACACGTAAAACATACCGAAATTTGTAGAATTAAAACAAATTATTATAATTATTGTCGAACAAAGCAAATCGATAAATAAAATCACAATTACAAGAATTATTGCAACAACAAGCACAAAAATTTAAATTTTTCTAAGAATTGAACAATACATCGATCATCGAACGGTAAACATGTATGTATATTCTAAATATTGAAATCCAAATGTCAACATATTTAATTTTATATTTCTCATCAACACTTATCTTTTTTGATAATTGCATTCTACAAAAAAACTATATTTTTAATGCATTCTTTCGGACGGCTGTTCCTTCAGGTAAGTCTCAGGTAACGCGGCACAAAACGGTTACATTCACCTGGTAACACCTGGCAACACCGTTAAATTTATTCGAAATTCTCTTAAACGTTTTTTATATAAATAAAAAGCACTATCAGAAAACTTTTTTTACGAAATTTTAACGAAAAGTAAAAACTTGTATGACGCGACGCATGATGCGACCTGTCCGTGAGTTTCGTTCGAATTACAAAGTTTTGTTGACTGACCGTCATCGGCTGCGTTCACAGGAGGTGTAAAGTTGAATCGAATCACGCGCATGCTCGAACTGCCTTAGTGGCATTCAACCAGTCAACGAAAAGATATAACAACCAATCAGAAATCTTCTGTAAGTTAAATATTAGTAATATTCCCTATAGTTATATATGCAACAATTCATTTTTAAATAAAAAATATTTTAAAATTTATTATTGATAAATTATTAATATATATCTATATTTTCGTTAAGATAAATAATTAAAATATAAAATTTTTGTTTCTATATTATTTTATTATATTTTTATTATATCGTAATACGTATAAAATATAAAATATTTATTATAAGCATTTATTATAAGCAAATTTTTTTTATATTTATTTTCATTCGAATAATAAAACGAATAATAAAAAAATTATATTAAATTTTATTATATAAATTTTAATATAAAATATAGTGAACAAGCTTTTATTCAAGCAGATTATTATTTATTCAAAAATACTTGAAATAAAAATCAGATATATAGGTATTTTTAGTAAATGAAAAGAAAATATTTGATATTAAGAAGTTTTTATTGAATTAAATAAGCATTAAAAGAAAAATCCAAGTATTTTTCCTCCAAGATGTTTTCTTCTAGCCTCTTCATGATCCATAATTCCTCCACTTGTAGTTAAGACAACATATCTAAAAAATATATATAAATTACAATAGATAAAAATATAATTATTTATTGTAACACTAAGTTTTGCATACCCAAATTGTCGAGATGGCAACAGATTATTAGTCCATTTTTCAATGTCATTAATTGGAACATCAAATCTAGGAGAAATTACACCACATTTATTTAATCTTCCACTAAGATTTACTACAACTTTACCACTGCGGTGATCATCAACAATTTCAAATTCTCCAATATATCCTAAATATTAAAAATAATATAATAAAAAAAAATTCATATTGTAATAATTATATGTATATATGAAATAAACATTCATATGAGGAAACTATTTTATTTTTGTTTTATAAATAAAAAAATATTTATATATAATTTCTTACCTTTCCTCATCATTACAGTTAAAAATTTAATGATTACTTTTGAACAAGGCCTCAGTAGCACTTGCCTTTTTCCACGTTTTTCAGCATTGTTAATGGATTTGAGAGCATCGCTGAGAACGTTCATACGCACCATAGCTAAAAAGAAATGTATCTTACAAAGATATTTTAAAACTATATTGATTGTGATTTCTGAATATCCGAAATGTCATAATACATAACCTATAATATGAATAAAATAAATTTAAACAAGGAACTCTTACTTTTTTATAAACTAATATTAACTTGAATAAGATATTAATCAATTTTATAAATATAATTTAACTATAATAAACAAAACAATAACAATGAAAAATGTACTACTACTATTCCATATAAATATTCTATATATTTTTGAATAATATATTCAGAATAAAATATTATTATAAATTATTAAATTATTAAAATTACAGACTAATTTCTAATTTATTTATATTAGATGAAGTTAAAAAACTAAGATTACCTGCGATTTATAATTTTGTTTATCACAGCAACGTACACGTTTGTTTAACCGACTGAAAAAAGAAGTTACAACGCAGAGTTACCACATTAATCACCTAAATTTGCTTGCAACCTATTGGTTGAAATTCTGGGAATAAATAATGGTTCTGTAATTTTTAATAATTGTCATTTATTTTATGAGTATTAATAACAATATACAAGATTTAAAATGTTATAAAAATATAAAAAATAAATGATTAAGTAACTAATTCCTTTTTTGAAATATTATGATAAATGCAAAAAGTTTTATGTTCCCTAATAGATTAATTTGTCCAAAAAATTATATATGATTGGATTGTAAGTAAAGCGAATAAATAATATATTCTAAATTATATTTTTAAATTATTTAATTATATTAATTCTAATTAATTTTTTATATATATTGTTTATAATTGCTATAATAACAGAAATGAAGTGCGTATATATATATATATATATATATATATTTAAACATAATGAAAACTGATGAAATATATACATTAAGAAACGAGATCTGGTATTCTGTCATTGTTCTGTCGATAAGATAGACAAATTCTTGATCAGAAAGAAGAAGACGTACCGTAGAAGAATATAAGCTGTGGTCAATTGATCGAACGATTGGTGATCGAGTGCTTTTGCTGTTCGGTAAATGTAAATGTGTGTTGTATCAACGAGGATTATTGTGCAAGTACTGAGTACTTGTCGAAACATGAAATCTGAAAGTCGATAGTAACCTACGGTTCAGGAGAGTAGTATAAGGTAACGGTCCCTTGCTTTCGTCATGTTGTCAAAATTGATGAGGAAGACAAAGTTGACGGGAGATGCTCACTGATATGGAGGTTGTTGAGAATTCTTTAGTCCGCGGATCGTCTCTACTTGAAAGGTTTCCCGGAAGTTTTCATACGAGAAACACGCAAAAAGGTGTAAGTCGTCAGGCAACTATCGGCTGTCCTGTCGGCTTCCTGAAATTTTAATATCGGTATCACCTGATTCTCGACTTGACTTGCTCATTTGTTTTTCGTTCTTATATTTGTTATTTTTAGGTTACGCTTTTTATAATAGTTTTAAATTTTATAATGATAATTATTTACATTGTTTACAGATTCTACAAGGTGTTCCCGCGGGATTTGGCGAGCTGGCGAAGCCAGGACGTGAATACTCGTCATCCTCGGAGGATACCGCAACACGTAGTAAAGACAGTGGTATCCTCGCTGTGCGAGGTCAATCTTTCACAATGTCAGGCTTATGCACTGATATATTAAGGAAAAGTTATACAGCTGCTCATATACATGCAGAATGTAGCAATTTGGCTCATGACAGTGGCTGTCCACCATCTCTTACTAAATTATTGGATGAATTATTAAATCCTAGTAAAGATATTGGTGACAGAGAAACTATAAATTGGTGTAAATGGTTAATAGCTAGTGGTAATACACCAGAAAAATTTGCTAAAATAGGTACAGCATGCATTTTATTTTTTTTAACTGAATAAATTAAAAACATAATATGTATAAAAAATTATATTGAATTTAAATGTTTAAATTAAGAAAGATTAAGATATAATATAATATAATATAATATAATATAAAATTCAATTTTATGATTAAAATACATAGAATATAGAATAATATATATTAATATTACAAATATTATAATTATTATAATTCTACTCTAATCAAATTGTTTGACATTTCTACATAATATATTTTGTTATGAACATTATTTTAAAATCTGTGATATAATTATAATGCAATTTGCGTATTTGGCATCAACAAGATTATTCAATAAATATATGTTCATATATATTACTATAGATATGAAAATGTAAATGTATTAGATATTCTAATACTTAAAAGAATAAAGTTCATAAAATTTTTAATTTTAAAATTAAAGTAGACAATTTTTTGAATCAATATAATAATAATTTGAGAAAAAACATTATTAAATATTGAAAATTTAAAAATTTAATTGGAAATTTTTTAATATATATAACATATTTGATCAAATTTTCATATATTTAAATCAAATATTTTTGAAAAATATTTCAGTGAGAATGTATGATAATGCTACAACTTGTGGATTAGTTTGGACACCTAATTTTGTTGCATATCGTTGTCGTACATGTGGTATTTCACCATGTATGTCTTTATGTACAGAATGTTTTAAAAAAGGCAATCATTATGGCCATGACTTTAATATGTTTTTGAGTCAAGCAGGAGGTGCATGTGATTGTGGTGATGCATCTGTTATGAAAGAATCAGGGTAAAATTTTAATAAATAGAAGAATAAAAGTAAAAGATTAAATTAAAAAGTTATAATTATTATTAATAAGAATAATATTTAATATAACTATTTTTTTAGATTTTGTGATAGGCATGGACCAAAAGCAGCTGTTGATACATCAGCTGCTCCATCAAATTTAATGTGTGTAGCAGAAGCAATGATGCCTAGAATAATTCTTCGTCTTATACAACATTTACGTGAAAATTGGTATATTATATATTTCTTTGTTTAATTACTAGAATTATAAAATATATATATTATTATATATATATATATTATATTTTTTAATTATTTTTCAATATATATATTTCTTAATTTTTTAATTATTTTTCAATATATATATATTTAAATATTTTATTTCATTTCAGTACGGTGGGTCGACGAAATTATGAAGCTGCAATACAAGATGCAGATGAATATTTAACAATGCTCATTGATTTTAATAAAATGGGTGCATTAATGAGGCATGTTATGACATCAGCTTTAACTAATCCACAAAAATATAGGAATCTTATGGATCCTACTGTATCAACTGGAGAACCAGAATATGATAGTTATTGTCAAGATAGTAATGAAATATATCAAAATGCAGTAAGATCATTACCAAATCCAGAACCACCTGATGAATATAAAGGCAAATCTTTTTTTATTAATGCATATATATAATTATAAAAGAATATTTATATAAATACTTTATTATATTTTTTTAGAATGTGCATCATTACAAGAACATTTACAACATACCACTTTTTTAGAAGAATTAATGTTTTGGACAGTGGCTTATCAATTTCCACAGAAATTAGTCTGTTTGCTATTAAATATGTTACCAGATCCAGAATATAAAGAAGCACTCACTCGAGCATTTGTTTTACATTACAGTAGAGTTTCAATGATGCTTGAACGTTCAACAGATCCTGATACTTTGAGCAACAGAGTAGTTCATGTCAGTGTACAGGTAAATATTGTAATAAAAATATTACATTTATTATAAATGAAATATTTTAAATGCTTGTATTTCATGTTTCAGCTATTCAGTAATGAAAGTTTAGCATTGAAAATGGTAGATCAATTAAAGTTGTTGCATGTTATGGTGATAGCTTTAAAATATATGATGAGTAAAATATTGATTCAAAATACTTTACATGGTAAGTATATAATGTTTATATTATAAATTTTATTATTAATTTTAGAATATGTTTTATGAAATTTTTTATAAAATATAATATTTAGAAATATTTATTATTAATAAATATTGTTGTTATTAAAATATGTTTATTGAAATTAAATATTCTAAATATTTTTTCTTTCTAGATCCAGACAAAAATTTTCATTATGTAGTAGATTGTGAACGTCAAGTGATGAAGGAACATTGCTATTGGCCTATTGTATCAGATTTAAACAACGTTCTTTCACACAAACCTATAGCTGTCAGATTTATGAGTGATGACACACTTTTAGAAATGTGGTTTGATTTCCTATCTATGTTTCAAGGTATTATTTTATTTTTATCCAATATATAGAATATATATTCAATATATATATCCAATATAACAGAATATTATATACTATTATTATATATTGTAAAGTATTTTTAAAATTATTTTTATTATATTTAATTCAGGAATGAATGTAAATCAACGAGAAGTAAATCAACATGTTGAATATGAATCTAATACATACTATGCAGCATTTAGTGCAGAATTAGAAGCTAGTGCATATCCAATGTGGGCTCTAGTTTCTCATTTACGTGGTCCAGAAAGTGCAGTTCTTACTCGTAGAGTTTTATCATTTTGTCTCACTGCATTGCAAGATTGGCTAGATGCTATAAATTTTACTCATCCAAATGTGGTAAATAATTAAATAATTTAATAAAAATATTTTTTTTTACATATTTTTATTTTATTTTATTATATTTAAATTAATTAATTAAAGTATAAAGAATAATATTATACTTGAATATCTTTTTATTTAATTACAGAGTGATAGTTTACAAGTGTCTTTTCATCTTCCATTGCATCGATATTTTGCTGTATTTATGTGCCAAGCTGTGCGTCAACAAGGGGCTACACTCAATGATTTGTTACCTCCTACAGACATGTTACATCTTTTAATGATGCATCCTTTACGAGTTCAGGTAAGTACTTTTTTATTTTCCAGTATATTTATTTCTTTTCAATATATTTTCGATATATACAATATTTTAAAACTTGATAAAATTCATATTTGAAAATATTTATACAATTATATTAAAGATATTATTTTATTTATACTATTTTATTTCATTATGGTAGTGAAATTTCATTTATGATATGGATTTTTTATTTTATATTTTATTAATAATGAATATTATAAATTTTTATTAAAATAACAATACTTAATTATATAACTTAAATTAACAAGTAACATTATTGAAGATTGTGATAAAAAGGAATTGGAATTAGGAATATTAGAAGATAAATTTTTATTTTTATGATATGTTGTGTCAAAACAAATATATATAAATGTTAAATGGCACAAGAAACATTATTTGATACAAAATTAAACATATTATTTAATAATATAAAAACTAATTTTTTTAAAAAAATCATTATTAATATAAATCTATGAATAATATTAATTATTAAAGTAAATATTTATTAAAAGTAAATATTGAAAGACAATATGAAAGTAGAAATAAAATAGAAAAAAATATTGAACTTTATGTTAAAAAATATGAACTATATCTTAATAGTATACATAAATATATTCATACTGATCTTATTTCATTTGGAGCATCAACAACTGTTTCTACATTAACAGGTAAATCAACTTGTAAATGTTTACTAAAATCATATGTAATCAATCTTAATGCTACATATCCACCCGATCCTAATCTACCTTTATGAAAAATACCAGCACCTGCGATTGGAATTGGTGGATTTGATTCTACCGGTTGAACATCAAGAAATGGTATTGTATTTTGTGCAGCATCAGTTTTACGATCACTTGGTGCAAAATTCAGATATTGTTCTGTTTTTGAGTCTGGTAATGCAAGAAGAGGTAATCTAGTTGGTATATTAGGATTCTCAAATTTTAATTCAGTTCTGTAAACAAATATGATATTAGATAAAACATTTATAAGTACAAAAGAATATACACAAACAAATATTACCTATCGGTTCGATCATGACTGAACCAAAAACTATTGTTTAATGGTTCTATTAATTTTCCAGTTGTGAAATTAAAAGGCGTCATTCTTACTTCTAAATTCAATCGTGAACCAACCATTCGAAACTTGAAACCTGCAAAATAATTAGTATAACTATGAAGTTACAAGAATAATATATTTTTTATTTAAATATACCTGTCAAAAGATAATTTTTGTCAAGGACTAAATCGTCTAGATCCAAGCCTCGTTTTTCCCATGATAAAGTATGATAATCAACACCGTTTTTGATATTATTATCTAATATATTAAATTCTTCAATTGATTTCCAATGTACACTGGTTTTATCAATATTTCCACGTGGCATCAATTCACCTTGCTGTATTTGTATATGTATTATTTGATTGACTTTTTTAAATCGAACACCTGTTACTACTCTGTAACAAATATTATTATTATTATTCATCATTCTTCTTGAATCTTAGAAATTTTTTTAACATAAATTACTAACTTATTATTCTCTATATCAGATACAACTTTTCTTAAACTGAAGTATCGATCAGAGTTCATATTATTGTCATCACAATAGCAAAAACAGTAGCTACAATGCCAAAATAGCCAACGCCACCAGCTATCAACTTTGGTTGTACCTTTATTGCAAGTGCTTTTTTCTCCAAATATCTGGCCGTTTTCGTATTCTATGTATTCATATCTTCGATCATTATGTTCAGACTAAAATAATTCATGAATTTGTTTATTTTTGTCACATTGTAAAGATAAGAAAAGTTTCTATTTACCGAAGGACAAATCCACATATCAGAATCAATATATTCGCATTTCAATATTCTACCGTTACATTTACGTTGTTGAGAACAAAACTGATTTTTATAACATCCATAAACTTTTGAATATTCATAGTAAGCGCAATTTTCTCTACAAGACGAGTCTTTATTCAAATCCACTTCATTCACAATATATCCTTGGAATAATTGTGTTAATTTGGTATATGTTTCATCTGTGACAATTATTTTAGCATATATATATATATATATTATATTTTTTGTATAATAATATACAAAAATGTACCTAATTTATGTATTCTCGCATCACATTTCCAAATTTGTCGTGGAGCAAATGCCATAGCTGTTTTTACAGCCCGCAAAGTTTCTGTCGTTCTTGTCTCATATTGTTGCTTTACTATTTCCATTTCATCAGTGAAATTTGTTCCTGCATCAAATTTATTATGATTAAAAAGTGAATTTTTAAAAAATTATTTAAAATCTAACTAAATAAATTTTTTCTTTAATATTAAAAAAAGACAAAATATAAATAAAAAGAATTGGATATATTATTGTAAACCATGTATTGAAAAAAATTAATAAGCTATGCAATTTACAAATGATAATGCATTATACCTGGATTGTAAAGCCGTAATATCTTATAAGAGAACTGAATCATACTGTAACCCTTAATTTCCGCCAATGTTATTGTGGTATATAAATTGTATAGCAATTGTTGAAGCGACTGATTTTCATTGCAAATTTGTGAAGATGCTTCCTACAAAACGAAAAAGTAAACGCAAAAAAAGAAAAGATTAAATCTATCAATATCAAAAATAATTAGTTCTTAAATTTCTGTTTGTTAATTATCAAAGAAGAACGTTCGCTACATCGATGATCATCGTATTGGAAACAATTCGTTTATATTATTATACCTGATAAACCGAAACGAATAATTTTTCGTGCACTATCAGGTCACCGATTCGAGAAAGAGCGTTCACGATCGACGCATTCGGATCATGCAGAATCGTATCCAAGAAATCAGCCAGTTTTGGTATATCAAGGGCAACTTTTCCATTAATGATCTCCTGTTGCATCATCCGAAAAACTCGGTACAAACCGTTAATCCCTTGTAATTCGTTTTCTGTTCTAGCCCATAACCAAATGGAATTCAATGCATTCAAATACTCATAACTATTGCTCGAAATGTTTCGCTCTAGTTCATCACCAAATTTCTTGAACTTTTTTATGAGCCATAAATACTTTCCTTCTTTGTTATTTTCAAATTGATATAGTTTAGAATGGAATAGATCTCTCTCCACTATTTTCTCCAATTGTAATAGTTTATTTCGCATTTCGTCGATCATTGTAGGGTCATAATGTATACTAATAGTTACTCCCCATATTATGAAGAGAAACAGAAGACATATAGGAATATTTAATTTCTTCATATTTGTAGCTGTTTTATTTGATCCTTAATAGAAAAATAAGTTCTTATTTTAATCTTTAATTATATATACATGGACAAATAATCCAATATCTAATATCTATATGAAAATGTGTACAATTGCTAAATGAGATGATTTCAACTTATGGTTGTATGATAAATTTCAATCAGAAATATTTTTGATGTAAATAATTTTGTTTCCACTCTTCTTTTTTACTGATTTAGTCAAATATTATATGACGCATTTCTTACCGTGTAGATCATTGACGATCCACGTTAACCAAGCAAACAAAGATATCTTTTGAGTCACTGTTTAAAGAAACTATACATGAAAGAAAATTAAACTGAAGAAAATTAAAAACTATTGTTAAACTGCCTATGATATAATTATTGATATAGATTTATAAGTATCTTATTTTTTTTAATGAAAATTTTTTACTTTTTTTTTTAAAACTCTATTGATAATTCAATGTGACAAATCATTTTTAACAATTAAAATTAAATAGTTTACGAGTCATATTGAATATATTTATTTTATTGAATTATTTATTTTATTTATAAAAATAAAATAAAACTTAATAAAATTCATAACTTTTTTTTTTAGAGTTTTTTCTAAAACTTTTAAAAATTTCCTTATAGTTTGAAACAAATCAATTACAAAATTTAAAATAAAAGATTATTATACATTATACATAATATTATTCGAAAAGAATGCCAAAGTTGCATTCATTTGTATAGTGCATTCTTGGAACCTTGAAGAATAAGTTATCATATATTTGTAACAACATTTCATAACTCCCTTATTTGTGCATAATGATCGTTCATTGATATACAGAGCATGTTTGATAGTAAGGGTCGCATATACTGATTACGTTAAAAATTAGATACGTCAGTAGTTGAAGTAAAATGATATCATGTGTTATGTTCGTGAAAAGATTACTAACATGTAATTTTGTGATTATTATATTCAATATGTATCTCGAGATTCGTTCTTAATTAATAATACTTTTTTTCTTTTAACAGATTACGTTTAATTCACTTGAATGTGAGTCACATCCGTATGTAATTATTAGCCCTTCCGGTAATTTAAACGATTTCGACAACAATCGATATCCGATAATAATAATTAAATATCTGCTTTTTCCATTTCAAAATAATAAGTTTCTCGCATCGTTGCAATTTTTCATTTTTAAGAAAGAATTCTTTTTTATTTTAAACAAAGCAATAAATTTGTTTATTTAAATTTATAACAGTTAATAAATTATCACATATTATAAATAAAATAAAATTATTATGAAACAAAAAAAGATTAGCTTTACCGTAGTACAAACAGTTTTTCCTAAGGTTTCGTTGCTATATCTTTTTACATATAGTGCATACATTATAAGTTTATGTTATGTGAAAAGTGACTAGTCTTTAATAATTGTTGATTTAATTTTAAAAAATGATCGTCGAATTAATTTTGTAATATCTTGTTCAAATAAAGTTTAACTTTTCCATTTTTGGCCGTTCAAATAATGTTGCATCAGCAATTGTTATGATAAATTATATTTATTATTATTTTAAAACAAACAAATTTATTTAAAACAGAAGTGTAAATTATTTATATAAAAATTTTATTCATTATTTTATTAATGGAAACTTAATAAGTTTTCATTTAAAAATTTAATGTATACATTTTAAATATTAGGATGACAGCTTTGTTTTTGTAAAATCAATTTGTAATATTATATATACCATTATATATATATCAATATTTTTCAAATGAATTATTTATATATTACATTTATAACATAAAATTTTATGTACGATTTTATGTAAGATTTTACGATGACATGATGGAACGATGCAAGAAACTTACTGTTATTTGATGACATGATATCTAAAAGCGAAATCTCTGAATATTTTTTTTTTCATAAAAACGTGTAATATGTTTCATTAACAAATTATTTATAGATATATCAATATTTCATAAACAATTTTCAATTCAATTTTAATTGTTTTTCAACAGTGTCGAATAGAAAGTAGTAAAATTATTAGGTCATGAAAGGTTAGTATGATTAATTGAAATGTTTCGATCGTAATAAGCGAAAATTGAAACCTGCTAAACTGTAACTACAAATCTGCTTGCATTGTATTTTAAAATTGTTAAAATATTTTGATTGTTAAGTCTAAACTTTTTAAAGTTCACTATATACACTATTTCATAAACATTTATCAACAGTCATCTCTCAGATATAGAAAATGATTGAATTGTATTTTTAATGAAAAAAATTAGAAAAATAAGATTAGAACAAACACCATTCCTCGTTGCGCACACTCTACTGAGAATTTCGTGTTATTGTTCCGTCATTTGACTCTATATTTCTCCCCTCTCGGGTTGAGATCGTTTGAGGTTTAATGGTGTTATGTATTTCTGCGCATGCTCCTTTTCATTCTCCGGTTCTTTTCGTTGTTAACCTTTCGCACAAACTGCCATTATTGTTCTTAGTTTTCTTATCCAAGAAAAATGTTGTATTTCGTTTTTTCTTAAAAATTAATCCATTTATTACGAAAAAAGAAAAGGCATTTTATTTTTATTGAATATATTTTGAATAAAATTTATTCACTATTAAAAAAAATTAAATTGAAATATTAAATTAAATTTCATTGTAGCGATCTCGTTATGATTCTTTGATAATTATCTTTTATAAAAATAAAATAGAACTTATATAAGAGATTCAACTATATAATCAGATAATCAAACAAAAATTATTTTTTCTTAATTATTACCTTTGTTAAAAATATTTCTTAAGCAATTCCTTTGAAAGAAATTCCTTTTAAATAAAAAAATATAAGGTAAACATGTATTAAATCTTTAAATATTTTTAAATTTGTCTATTATATTTATTATACTATTATAATTATAATATAATATTTTCTATTTTTATAATTTTTATAATTACAAATAATTAATTTAAATCTAACTATAATGATGTTAAGCATATTTTATATTATTGGTATAGTAAAATATAAAAAAAATCAATATTTTAATTACATATAGGAAAATAATTGCAAATTTATTATTTCAACGTTGTATCTATATATATTCCTACTGAGTTTGTAACTTGAATAGGTACAGATTGTCGGATGTCACTTGATCACTCTGATATATCATGCACCTAATACCTCTTCATACTTAATAGTCATGATAGATTAAACTTCTAACAATACATAATATTCAATTTCGAAAATATTAAATAAATAACAATTTTTTTTAATCTTATATAATTTAAAAAAAAATTACGAATAATCGTTAAAATTTTTAATTTTAAAATAAAATATTTTTTATATAATTTTAAAAAATGTATTAAAAATTATAAAATTACTTACATGCATTTGATTTGTCAATAATATAAGAATGCTTCTGCCGAGAATTTCGTCAGGAGAAGGAACAAGTAATCGATGAATATTTTTTAAAACGTCAGGAAGAGCACCTGTTCTTGAGGAAACACATGTATTTGCAAAATCTTCTAATGTATATCTCTCATATTTATGAGATGCTTTAGAATATAAATGGAAATCATAATATAAATCATTAATTCGTCCAACATTTTCATCGAGGATACGCAGTTTTTCATTTAATATTTCTTGTAACGGTACTTCACTTAAAACTTTAGCTAAAATTGTGTCCAATCGTATATCTATTTGTTCTTGAAAACTATCAATTTTTTCTGATATTCTTGATATACGATTCTTTAATTCTTTTTCCATTCTCTGAATAAATGGTAAAGTCTTATCATATTCAGGACCTTTTGGATGTATTAATTCCCATGATTCAAAAATATCCATTACTATTTCATGACCGAATTTTATCATATCTTTTACACTATTATAATCAAATTCGAAACTATTTTTAATTTGTTGTAAAGTAAATATTAAACAAATAAAAATAATTTTTGGTCTAATTAAAATCATTTTTATTTATTTTAACAATTAATTTCAATTAAAAGTAAATGAATTTGAAGATTGCACATATAACACATTCAATCTTGTTTTTCTTTCTTCTTTTATTGTTCGTTTATTGGATCAATTTTAAATACTAAATCTAAAAATAATGATTATAAAAATAAAAAATCAAAATTTTCAGAAATATTTGAAGACTTAATCACTCAAGGAAGAAACTTAGTCAACTTTCCCGAAACTATAAATGCTCTTCTCTTGTTATCGATCATATACTGAGAACACAGCGTTTGGATGCTTCCCTGTGACGGGATTGGTGGATTAAGTGGGGGAATATCATGAGTTTACAGTAGACTCTATAAATTGTTTATTCTATGGGAAATAAATAAAATTAAATTTGTAATGTCTATAATATGTTATATTCTAACATTATTATTTGTAATAAAAATATTTTTTAATGATAAATAAATTGTTGAAATTTTTATAAATTCATTATAAATAATAAATAAATAATAATAATTAAATTCTAAAATTTATTTTGATTTTTATTATTTGATATGTATTTATTTTTATATATAATATCCAGGAATTATTTTGAATTATTATTTATTGAAAATATTATTATTATTATATTATTGAAAATATTTTGAATTATTACACAAAAACAAAATTGATTCAATATCTTTAAATTTTTCATATATATATCATACATACAAATATTAAGAGATATTTTCAAATATGAAATAAAATGAATTTTAATAAATAATTTTTTAATATTGTGATTTTCCTATTTTTTAATTTTTTTTTTATAATAAATATAATATATTTTTAGGTTGCCTTTTATGAAATTTTAAATGGATTATGGGTGCGTAATGGTCTTCAAATAAAAGGTCAAATTATGACATACATACAATGCAACTTTTGTAATTCAATGGTAGATGCAGATCTTTATTTACTTCAAGTCTGTGCAACAAAACTACAACCAGACATTTTTCTAAAAACAATTGTTAAAAAGTAATAATCATGTTATATTATATATCACATATTATATTTAAATTATATCTTTCAAATTAAAATTATAATTGATAATGATCTTTGATTTGATTAGATTCCTTGTGAAACAAGAATTGAGCCTTTGTTTATACAGAACATCTCAAAATGAATACATGGATGGAAAACATGATATGCCTATGTTAGAAAGTTTTTTAACATTTTTAGCAATATTACTTAATGTACGAACAAATTTAGGTAAGATTTTCATATTATTTTTTTTTAATTTTATTTATATTATATAATATTTATTAAGTTAATATATATAACAAATTTTAATTTTAGGTTTATCTGATCCTGAAATGTCCCGTTTAGAAATGGTTACTTTATTATCTATGGGAGATAAAACTCATAGTCAATTAATGGAATTAATGCCAGAACGTTCTGGTAGTACCCAAAATAGAGATTTTGAATCTGTATTGGCTGATGTATATTTTATTTATTATATTTAAAAAAAATAAATATGTAATTATGTAATTATATAATTATGTAATATAAAATGTAATTTACAGGTTGCAGTATATAGGGCACCTAATCTTGAAGCTAGTGGAAATATGCAACAAGGAATGTATGGACCAAAACCTCGTTTAGTCTGGGAAGAGTTATTTGATCCTTTGCATGTTTTGCTAAGAGCAGCTCAAAGAGGAGATTTTCAAATGGCAATGGATCGTTTTACTGAATAGTTAGTAAATTTTATTAAGATATTATTAAAATATTTAACAAATTATTTTTTTATTTTAACTTTTACTCTTTTATTATGATACTTTATATATACTTAAATATTTTAGTGTGAAACAATCAGGAAAATTAAAAAATAGTGCAATTCCATGGCCACCATTTAGGCATCCTGCTCCTGTTTCATCTGCATATGATGATCCACGAATTGTACTACGATCTAGAGTTTTTCATTCTATGATTTTAATAATTTTATATAAATCTGTGTATGGACATAACATATCAGAGCATATAATGGCATTGACTATTTATTTATTAGAAATGGCAGTAATTACTGCAGAAATTCCTGATAAATCTGTAAGTAATTAATTAAAAAAATATCGTAGAATTGTAAAATAATTATATTTTTTTCACATCAGATGAATCCTTTGTGTCATTATACTAGTGATGAATCATCTCGTATAATAAAAGACATGGATTTAGATGGTTGGTATAAAACTGATGACTTGTCTGAAAATTTGAGAACAGTAATACCTAAAGTAATCTTAGTTCAAGAATCAGAATCAAGTAGCTCAGATAGTGAGTAAAATTATCATTAAACTATTATTTTCTACTATATTACATGATTATTGTTTTAATAAATCTTTTAGGTGACTTTGAATGGGAAATTCAAGGTGAAATGACTGAGGTTGGAACTTCACTCATGATAAATGATGCAACAGATGAAGGTCCTTTAGAAGTTTTAGCTCTTCCACCTTTAGATACTATTAGTAATGATACTGGATTACAAGTTGCTATGAATGCTTCTTTACCTGTTTTACCTCAAGTAAATGGTAAGTTTTTATTTATATTTCTTTTTTCATTTATATTAAATAATAAACTAATAGTAATAAAAATTATAAAAAATAAATATTTACATTTAATTTATAAGTTTAATTTATGTATGTATCAAAAACAATCCTTATAGGTCCTTGTATATAAAATTTTTAATATACCTTATTCTAATTAATAGCAATATACATTATATATATATATATATAATAAATAAAAATATACATATATATACATATATATATATATATATATATATATGTATAAGTGTATATTCATAAATTATGAGATGGATATTTCGGTGTTGATTAAATGTATTATATGATATTGCAATGATATTTTATTTTTTCTTAATTGTTTTATAGACCAATTTCAAATAACTTTTGTACCTGAAGATGGAATTGTTACAATATCAGAAGCTAATAGTGAAGATGATTTAATAACTCTACCAAGAGCTTTACCATCATCCACCGAAGAATCCATGGCCCTTGCCCTTGAATCACCTCCTCTACCAAACAGTATGTTATTTCTATCATTTCACCTTAATCATAGCAATATCCTTCTTATATTTATCTTATATAGTTATTTACAAAATATGTATCACATTTTTTTTTCATAATTAAGAACTAATGCATTAATAATATTCTAAAATAATACTAAGTTATCAATTTTATCAATAAAAAGAAAATAATTGATATTTAAAAATAATATATTTTCAAAGAAAAAATAATCATTTTTTTTTAATCTTTATTTTTTACAAATAGATTTTGTTAGTCAACCAGCATTACCACCAGCACCTCAACGGCCTGCTGTTATGGCTGGTAACGAAATAGTTGCTGCAACAACAATGTACTCGAGATTGAGTAATTCTAATGTAACGACGACAGAAATTGTTCCATCTACATCGAGTTCACATAAACACTTTAAAAGAAGGGAAATTCAGGTACTAATTTACATATTGATTTTTATCAATATTATATGTATATATTTTAGTAAATAAATTATACTACAAATATTATTAATTTATTATTCTATATTCTTTTTTGTTTAGGGTGGATCATTACAATCACAAACGATAAAAGTAGATGAGAGTATAATCACGTTATTGTTAAAATTGCACTCGCAATTATCAGGTGTTCCAGATAGTTATAATCCTGAACAGAGTGCAATGTCGGATAATGAAGCTAGTAGTAGTTCAACTATAGAACCTATAGAATCGCGAATTGGTGATGGCCCATTCTTTATTGCGAATCTATTGAACAAAATAACAAACTTGGATCCTATGTGCAAAGAAGCTATAAATGAAGCTAGAAACAAATTATGGCCAAGTATGCAAGAAAGTGAAGATAAACAACGAGAGAAAGAAGATCGCGAAAGAGAAGAAAGACGAAGACGAGCAAAAGAAAGACAGCAAAAATTAATGGCTGAATTTGCTAATAAGCGAAAACAATTCATGGAAAAAGCAATGGAAACAGGTAAAATAAAACACATAGAATTTATAAAATTAAAAAAAAGAATATTTAAGAATAAAAAAATTTAATTTACATAATTTACAAAAAAAAAAAAGTAAAATTTATGAATCTTTGTTTAGATGGAGCAGGAGTATCTGGTATGGATTGGGATCAAAAAGATAATGCAACAAAATTAACTAGTAAAAAGGAATATGATTGTGTTATTTGCAGTCAAAGTAGTCCTAGTACTGAAGATAATCCTATGGGTCTTGTTGTATTAGTTCAAGTAATTTTCATTTTATGAATATTTATTTATATAAATTATTTTTATTAGAATATTTGCATAATATTTTTATGTAAATTATATATTTAGGGAACAAGTGTCATTGGTCATGAACGTCAACAACCAGATAGACTAGTTTTACCTACATCTGATGAAGATCCGCCTATACCAAAGTGTGATACACGCGGTGCCTATTTTGATCGTAGAATGGATGCAATGGATCGACATTTTGATACTGTAAATATTTGAATTTCAACTTATTCATTGATCATACTAAAACAAATATACATATATATATATATATTTATATTTATAGGTCTCGTTGCTGTTATCCATTAATTTAGGTTGGGAAGGTGGAGTTTATGTTCAAACGTGTGGTCACCATTTACATTTAGATTGTTTGTTGCCATATGTAAAGTCTCTTGGTCATCAACAAAGACAACTTTCTCTTGCTGTAGATAGTGGCGAATATTTATGTCCACTTTGTCGACAGTTAGCTAATTGTTTTCTTCCACTTTCTCCGCAATTAGGAAAACGTGGAACAATTGTACGATCTCCTTATGTTCCTTTTCCTACAATACTTCCGGAGATAAATAATCTTTTAAAAGAAATACAACGAAATTCATCAACGGTAAGTCTTTCAAACTTCGTCTAATTTACAATAATATATTCTAAATGTTTTTTTATTTAATATTTTACGATTTATATTTATAGAAACGAACATTTTTGTCTGAAGCAATGCGTAAAGCAGTACAAGATATGACAAGGTGCACAAATTCTAAATGTCAACAACAACATAGTTATAAAAGTTTGTTTGCTTTTATAACTTCTATAGCACGAACTAATTTTGAAATTGAACTCGTTCAACGTGGCGGATCATTATGTATTCTTCCACCTACTACAATACCTTTAAGACCAAAACGTGATTGTATTGGTAAATTTCTTTTATTTATAATTGGTAATAAATAATAATTAGAATAATAAATTTTGCATTAATAATATTTTTTTTAAGTTGCACTTCTTGATGTACTTGCAAAAAATGCACGTCTATGTATGTTTTGGCCGGTACAACATACATGGCAACAATTATCCGGGCTACCTGCAGAATCAGCAACTCCACTTGCTCTAACACTACATGAAGAAGAAGTTCCTTTACTTCTTAGAGATCCGACTGCTCTTCTTATACAATTTATATTATTACTTCCTTTGCATTTGGATCAAAGTAATTATATTTAATAAATTCATTTTCAAATCAATTTTAACAAATTTATAAAACTTTATATTTAAAATTTTAATTATTTTCAGCATATTTTTCTAGCGTAGTAAAAGTAATTTATAACTTATTGTACTATCAAGTTATAGTACAAATAAGCGGTAGTCTCACACAAACAGAAAGGAATACATTTTTAAGGAGAGAATGTAATGATCGCGGTTCTATATCTTCAGAAACAATACTCTGTAAAATCATTGAATATTTCAATAACAGTTCACTCTACCATTCAGATACTGTTTTATATGATCCATCCACTTCGTCGTGTACACCATATGCACGAGATAAAATGCACAGTATCGAACAACAGGTAAATTTGGATAGATAATTATGTAATTTATAATCTTTATCTTGTTTTTAAGATTTTATTGTATATTTAATCATATTATTTCAGATTCAATTTATGTGTTTACCATTTTTACGAATAGCTGCATTGCTTCGTTATCATTTGTATGAGGAACCTTTACCTTTAATTAAAACACCACAAGTCGAATTTGCAAGATTAGTATATTACTTAGAATTAGTTACAGAAAGTATGGATTGGAATATGTTTAATTCTGCTGTAGCTTTGAATTGGCAAGATAATGAGACTAGTGCATCAGTACCTCGTATGTGGTGTGATCAATTTCTTGCATTCTTAAATCGAAGCGATGCAGGCAGGTATTTAATTATGGAGCAGCATATATCATGGCAAGTGCCCAAGTTACTTAGTCTTCCAAGGGAATATGAAAAGATTTTTACGGTATGAATATTTAGTCAATTAAAAAATATGTTTTATATTTGTATTAAATTTTATAAATTTTAAAAATAAAATATTTTTTAGTATTATCATGGACGACAATGTCGTCAAGGTCATTCAATCCCACAGGAGATTAGTATTTGTTTGCTATGTGGTGCCATTGTTTGTTTAAAACAAAATCGCAAACAATGGAATGTATGCGAAGTTGTTCAAGTAAATACACTTTATACGTATAATTTTCTTTGATAATTAGTAATTTAAAATTATATAAATAAAATTATTTTTTTGTATTATATAGCATTCAATTGATTGTGGAGGTGGAACTGGTATATATCTGGTAGTAACATCAACTTATATTGTTGTAATTCGAGGTCAACGTGTTTGTTTATGGGGATCTTTATATCTCGATGATTTCGAGGAAGAAGATAGAGATTTGAAGTAAATATTTTATTCTCTAATATTATATATATATATTAAAAAATCCAATTTATCTTTAAATATATTTCAATTTAAATTTTTGTTATTTTATTTTGTGACTAGAAAGATATTAACATTTATTTATATTTTATAGACGTGGAAAACCTCTTTATCTAAATCAAGATAGGTATCAATTATTAGAACAACAATGGTTAGCACATAGGTTTGATCATACAAAAAAAACATGGGTATGGCATCGTGACATACTGTAACATATTACAGCGTTAAAAAGTGATTATGAAACAAGTCGAAGACTTTTAACAGGTTTATTCCCATACAATGCCTCGCCAAGAAATAACATCGCTTTAAGAATTAACAGATTGCTCTAATATTTTATGATAATTATATTTATTATGATGCAATGAGTAAGTAGACATAATATTGAATGAAAGTATTATAAGAAAAAAATGAGGTGAGAGCTGAATTAATATTGTTTATAGTCATAATACATAAAAGATTATATCCGAAAAAATGTATGTTTTGAATTACACATTGTACATTCTATTTAAGTATATACATATAAATTATGTCCTAATAAGAGAAGTACTTATTTAGTATGTAGCATTTGTACTTAAGAGATGAGAATTATTCAAAATTCTTGAAAATTTTTTAATCGAAATTTTGATTATATTAGAAATCGGATAAATTATATCGTTCAAGATAAATAATATCATGATAATGTCATGATTCTTTAGAGGTGGATTGAATTTATTGTGTGCTTCTTTTTAAAATAGGGAAAAATAGAAAAAAAGTCATTATATTCTAAATAAATAATCATAAATTTATTATAATTAATTTTTTGATTACTAAAAATTTTATTTTAAAACTTCTTTGAAATATTATCTAAATATTCTATTTAAAAATAGAATATTTTATATTATTATAAATTGAAAAATACAGAGGATTATATTAGATCTGTAAACATGACAAAATCAAAGACTGATGTCTTTATAAGAACTCTGTTTCTAAATAAGTTTAATAATGAGCTCGATTTTAAATCTCTGTATAATTTGTTGCAATTCATAATATGTTTTACTCTGATTCTGAATTTATATGAGCAAAGTAGAAATATCGATCTTGCATAAATTTTTAATTAGAAGGTGAAGGGAAAATTTTCATGTTAAATTGGCAGAAATGTTAAGAAAATAATTTTGTAGAATGATATGTTAAATATATCGAAAATGCAAATTATCGGAATATCAAATTAACATATAATCAGTAAAAAAAAGTTTCCATGAATTTATAAGGAAATTCATCTAAACCAAATCTAGTTTTAATGAAAATTTGTATATATATAGAATATAATGGGTTGTATATGGAACAATTTTTTTATCAATAAAAAATCTTTTTGAGAGAGTAAAAATAATCTTCAAAATTTTAATATTCTTTCAATTTTTGTATACAATTTTATTTGGAAATTTTTTTATAATAGTAATAATAATATATTTTTTAATATAATATTAAAAATTAAACATTTTTTATTTAAAAAGTTTTATTCTATCTTGTATTATTATAGAATTATATATCAAAAAATGAAAAAAATCACTAAAACTTTGAATGCTGAATGCTGATTTTATTTCCTTTAAATGATATTTTTTTAAATAAAAAAATTAATTTATAAATAAGCAATTATGCTTTACATATTCATTAAATTTTATTAAAAATAAAAAATTTTTTTGAAAAATTAAGAAATAAGAAATAAGAAATTTTTTTATTTATAATGAAATATTGTGAATATATAGAGTAATAAATTACATATAAAGCAATTTTTTTTTTAATAAAATATCATCTGAAAAAAATGAAATGCTCAAAGTTTCAAGTAATTTTTTCATTTTTTAAAATATAATTCTACAATAATTCAAGATAGAATAAAACTTTTAAATAAAAAATATTTAATTTTTAATATATACTATTTATACTATTATAAAAAGAATTTCCAAGTAAAATTGTATACAAAAATTGAAAAATGTTGAAACTGAGAATTATTCACTTTCTCAAAAAAATTTTTTATTGATAAAAAAAATATACAATCCATGCTCCATATATATACAAACTTTCAATAAAATCAGAAATTTTGATTTAGATAAATTTCTTTATAAAATAATTTATAAAGTTTTTTTTTTACTAATTATATGTTTTTATTATTAAAAAAAAAATAAAAAACAAAAAAACAAAAAAAAAACAAAAAAACAGAATCAGCAGTGTAGTAATTAAGTAAGATTGTTATTAATACCATGTGAATGATATTGTAAAATTTTCTCTGTAAAAATAGTTTTTGTTTTTAATTTAATAATATGAATTCTCTTTGCAACAGTTCATGAGAAATTGAAATTATTCATTAATCAATGAACTCGGGATTCAGACAATATTTGATGCATTATATATTTCTGTATGCATATTTATGGGCTGTGTATATGAACCTATAAACTCATTTTATTGAATGAACTATTTATCTACTCGCTGATTTTTTCGCACCGGTGCATAAATGCTAATTGAACTGTGGCAATTAAGTTGTTATTATTTTTGAAGAAGCAATTTGCAAATGTTCAACTAAATGATTAAAATTTTTGTTGAACATTTTGATTTTTAACAAAGTATATTTGCAAACAAATTTTTTATTAGACATTTTAATTTTTGTTATATAAATATACAGACAAAAAATTGCTTCTTCTAAGTTATAAATCACTGTAAATGTGTAATAATGATAGGATGCCACATATTAGGATTAGTTAACTCAAAATGATCTGTATATAGTTAATTATTTTTACGAATGTCTGCTTATAATGTTAAAAATTTGCGAATAATATGTTAAGAAGTGCTAAAAAATAAATAATAATAGCAATTATCAACTTTGTTCAATGTATAAATAAAAGCAATTCTATTAAATGAAAAAATTGTCTATAAATATATTTGTTTAACTACTTTTCAAATGGTGTGTAAAGTAAATAGAGAAAGATGAAGAATCATTTATTTTTAGATGATTATTACAGGTAATTTATGCCATTGGCAAATGCAAACATGTTTTGTAAAATGGATGAAGCTTGATAAACGTAGATGTAATTTTATCATAAATCTAATGATTATTACAATATTATTTATATCAAAATCATTTTCTGCTTTTGTTACGAAAATGAGACTCTAATTTTTATTTTATTTAATTATTTTTCTATTCAACAAGTGCTATTTTTCATAATAGAGAGTACTATTAAAAGTAATATAATTTACTTATTTGTTCTAATTATATATAAAACATCTACTTATAAATTATTTTCATTATCTAAGAAAGTGTTATTGTTTAAAATATGAATTGAAGATATAATAATGAAAGAAAAATATTAATCAATATCTAAAAGTTAGTAATGAAAACAGAAACTATATTACTTATCTGTACAAGAATAAATTTTATTACAATTTATAGAAATTTTGTCCTGTTAAATCAAATGAATTAAGTATTTTGTAATGAGGATGCTTATAATAGATTGATATTCAAATAATATATAAGACGTAAACAATTTAATAACTTGTAGATCATTGACCTAATTTTTATATAACTCAAATAGTATTTTAAAAAAAAATATAAAAGTAAATTTTATATGCATAATTATCAGATATAGCAATTTAGCATTTTTATTATTCTAATATATAATTTGTCTATAATAAAAATCAAAATCTATAAAAATCTTCAAAAGCATCCACATTACTTACATTGATTATTTCATGCTTATCAATACAGAAGAGAATAAATTTTTTTACGTATTAGTGAATGTATACTTTTCAAGTAGAAAATATTTCTATTAATATTAAAATTACATAAAAAGGCAAAGGGAAAATATTACAATTATTTCTTTTATTATAGACGTACCTTAAACGCAACAATTTTGTTTAAATCATATTTATATTATATAATAATTATCATGTTTTAATAACAAAACTAAAAATTGTGATCTAAGTCTAATTTAATTTAATTTAGAAATTCATAGGATGCAAATATATTGCCAAATATTATTAATGGACAAAACTCACAGCATTTAAGGCATGATTCTTTTTTTAGTTCTGTATCTTTTTTTTTTTGTTTTGTTTTTGTTGGATAAACATATACATTGTATGAAACTGACTGTTGATGGTCTTTGCCACGTTACAGGAATGTAGAACAGCACATCAAAATGTTACGTAAAAAACCAAATTACATAATGTTTTTTTAACATACATATATATATACTGATAAACTTGTCCATTTCTTTACGATAGTCACTTTCACTTTAAAAGAGATTGAAACTTAGTAGATTTCTTCAATAGTGACCACCTGTCTGTTCTTGATATACTTCAATAACATCATCATTTTCCATTTCCAACTGCAAAAATAGTTTTAAAATCATAATATTTCATAAGATTTGATCATATTAATTATAAATAATATTGAAGTCAATCCATAAAAAAAGATACATTATTGATAAAATTTTGTTTTTAAAATTAATTTTATAAAGTTGTAAAAAGAAATTTTATGTCTCATTCAAAATTTTAAATTTAAATAGAAGTTTACCTGCTTTGGTGTTTCATCATCATTAATTCTTTTACCATCAAATAGAAACCTGAGTGATGTCATAGGAACACCCTAAATAAAATTTAGACATGTAATTAAATATTTTTATCTTTTTTAAAAATATATATTAAATAATTTTTGATATCAAAATATACAGAAATATTATAATTCGATATGTTTTACAAATAAAAATCAATTTATCATTTCATTTTATTTTTAAAAGCTCAAAAATATTTTAACCATAAATTACATTAAAAATTCATTTAAAAAGAAAAAATATATTTTGTTTCTAATAAACATATGAAAATTCGTGATTTTTTAAATTTATAGTTTTACTATCATATAACTTAAATTATATATCACATGTCACATAAAAAAAAGTAAGAAATTATTACAAAAATTTTTTTAATAAATTATTCTATATTATCAAAAGCTAATAGTATCATCCACGTTTATTTTGAAAAGTGAACTAACCACACGATCGCTATATGATTTCTTGAGTTTACCCATTTGAGTGGTCATCTTTACCCTAAAGTGAATTTCATTGCTGTCCTAAAAAAAAATGAAATGACGAAATCGGTCATTAAGAGCCATCAAAATAAGATGTCAATATAAAAAAATATAACTTTAACTTCTTACATTTCCAACAACTTTAAGCTTGATATATTCAGAATTCGCGTCGCCTGGGCCGGCTTCGGGTTTTTGTTCCTAATACGCAAGGTTAGACTGATTAGATTCAAAATATGATTGAACATTCGAATGTTATATTAAATTTATACTATAAAATGCCCACTAACAAATTGTTGATTAAAATAAGAAAGCCTACCTGATTATCAGACATGGTAATTAATTAAATATAACAATTCTTGACCACGCGCCAGAACAGTAACCAAACACAAGCACGCAATATGGCGCCGCGCTTTTGTCAGTTTCACAGTCTTCTATTCTTAAAATAAAAATTTTAACGTTTAGTAGCTATTTTCGTTCCAAAAGACATCATTTTCTAACAGTTTTGCTTTAAAATTTAATTGTTCTTTATATATTTACATATATATTTGCATATATATTACATATATATTTGCATATATATTACATATATATTTGCATATATATTACATATATATATATAGATGGATATTAGCTAAATAATTACATTATAGAAATAAAATATATCATTAATTAGATAAAATTTTCTTTTTCAATTATTTTTTTATATTGAAAATATAAAATATTATGAATTACTCATTTATTATGTTTGTCTTATTATTTTTCATAAATATAAATTAATTAATTTTATATGTTTATAAAATAATATTTTCCAAAATAAATTTATGTATATAAGCATTATATGATTATATAAAATATAAGAATACTCAAATACCAGAAATCTTTACATAATTCAATTTTGATTGTTTAAATTTTTTAACGAAAATATAATTTTAAGTTTCTCATTTATAATTAAATTTACATTTTTATATTTATTAAATTTTTCATTAATAATATTATTATTTTGTTAAAAAGAAAGAAATAAATATTTAAAAATAATTTTAAATTAATTAATATTTATTCCCATTTATGAGGAAGCCATTTTGTTGTATAAATTATATTTATATATTCGATTTCATTATGTGTTCTAAAAAATTAAATTGGTAACTTTAATTTAAATGTTTTACCAATCATAAATTGATGTAAATTATATTATTCGTTACATAAGAATCAGATTTAATGGTTGTCCGGTTTTATGACACGATATCAAAAAGATAAGTTGAAACACCTTGCAAATTCTATAGTACGTCTAATCATAGCATGCCATTAATGTTGTGACGTGTTATTTTTTTTTAACTAAATAAACAGCGAATTAATCGCGAAGATTGGCTGAAAACGTACAAATACCTTAGGTAAATGTTATTTATTTTGGTTTTATCTGTAATTTACAATTGAATTTCGGATAATTGTAAAATGAGGAGGTTATGTGCACATCGTTCAGTTTATTTCATGCTATTGAGAATTTATATGAAAATACTATTAATATTTTAATTAAATCTTCTTAATTATTTAAAAAAATGTTTTGATAGAATTAATAAATAGAATTATGAAAATTAATATAAATTTTAAGTTAGTGTTTGATAAAAACATTTGATCAAACTATTATTTGAGAAGACTTATATTACAGCAATCTTGTTTTTCGGTTTTAATAATTGATTTTAATATTTCGATATATTAATTTCCTTTATTATTAAAAATTGTACTTATAAATAGGAATTTTATATATTCGAATATTCAACAAGTATTTTTATTATGATTATATTTTTTATATATTTTTTTATATATTAATCTAAAATTTTTTAGAATACATTATACAATTTTATTTCTTATTATCTGAAAATATTTTTAATAATATAACAAAAATATATTTACTGTAATTAAATATTTAATCAAATTTATCAATATAAATAGAAGTTTTTAATGTTTTTTTAATAAAGTCAATAAAATAAAATATAATTCTGATTCTGATTTCTATTTTATTTTATTTTGTAGTTTATAATTTTGAGTTATAAATTGAATTAACATTATTTAATATCTGATTACTTATAATAAATATTTACTTTTTATTTATTTTTTTAATATTCACTATATATATTTTTAATCTTATTTATCTTTAATATTTAATTTAATAAAGATATAATTAATATAAAATGATTTTTATATATTTATAATATTTTTAGATGATATTTAAGATTCATAATTAAAATAAAAATTTTATCGTAGAAAGGTAAAATGATGCAAGATGAGCATCTGGGTGGTCCTGCAAGACGAAATGTTTTCAGTCAAGCAATAGGAAGAATATCACAAGTATGTATTCAAATTTTTTGAAATTTTATTGTTTTAATTTTTTTTTTATTTTATAAGTTTTAATATAATTCTTATTTTTTATAAGTAATCTTTTAAATATTAACAGTATTCAGTATTATTAAAGTTTTCAATTTTAGTAATATATGAATATATTTATATTACAGTTATATCAAAGATATTTGGATCTTTGGACACCTCACGTAGTATCAAGATGGGCAGTTGCTCTCTTTCTCATATTTGTTTTTTTCTTGCGTATATTTTTGTCAGAAGTAAGTTATTGTTGTTTTGAAAATGAATGATTAATTTAAAAAGATTCAGATATATTTTTATGCTTATATTTTTAGGGATGGTATATTGTCACATATGCATTAGCAATTTATCATCTAAATTTATTCATAGCATTCCTTACTCCTAAAATTGATCCTGCAATGGATTTTGATGGTGAGTGTTTATAAATAGTATTTATGAAAATTACTATTTATTAATAATATTATAAGATTAAATTATAATGCTTCAAAATTTCATATAGTGATTATAATTTTATATAATTTTAATATTTAAAACAATTTTAATTTTTATTTTCACAACAAATTTTTAACAGAAATTTTTTAATAGATGGTGAAGGACCAGAGTTACCTACAAGATCTAATGAAGAATTTAGGCCATTTATTAGAAGGTTACCTGAATTTAAATTCTGGTATTCTGTGATGAAATCTACAGTTATTGCTATGATATGTACTATGTTTGATTGCTTCAATGTACCAGTATTTTGGCCCATACTTGTTATGTATTTCATAACATTATTTTGCATTACTATGAAGCGTCAAATAAAGGTAAAATCGTATATTATAATTTGATTTATGATATTTTTTTTGTGTTATTTTAAATTAATTTTTTTATATAAATTAATTAAATTTATAATATTATAATATATATATTATAAAATTGATTATTGATAAATTATTAAGAAAAAATAATATATAAGAAAATTTATTAAAATATTTATTTTGAAATTTATTTGCAGCATATGATCAAATACAGATACCTGCCGTTCACTCATGGAAAACCAAAGTACCAGAATCACGAGGATACCTCGAGGTTAATACCTTCAAAGTGAATAGGTGTGAAGTATGCTTGTTGATGGAGGTGCATAAGTGTGTAGATTTCTATTTTCCCAATATCACAATGGAAAAAAAAAATTTTTAAATTTAAAAGCAAATAGATTCTTTTATCAATGACATTATATATGAATAAAATCATTGCCTTGTATAAGGAAAGGTTTAATTCATGAAAGATGTAACACTAAAAGTATAATGTTATGTGGTATATAAACTGAATTGTCGCGTAATATATTTGTATTATAAAAACTTGTATAAAGTATTGTTAGGTTATATAAAGTGGTCACGTAATGATATGAACAATACAGCAATTGTTAATATAATATTAAATTAACATTGAATGTAAAGAAAACAAAAATAATTCATACATGTAAGATTCGTAATCTCAAAACTAATATCGTTTTTCTCTTTTTTAATACATTTTTCGTTATGAACATTTCATATAGAAGAATTCTATTGTTTCTTACATCTTTCCTTATATATTTAAATTTTATTTGAAATTTATCCTATTGATTTTATCATCTAAAAATAATGGTATTTATTAAAAATAATGACTACAAATTAGTTTTCTTTTCGCTAATAAGAATATATTTCAAATTGATTAATTTTACAAATTTTTTCTTTATTAAAAAAAAAATCGAAATCTTTCCAACTGCTTATAGTATATATTATAATTCGTGATAGATGGCATTTAATTCTTTCTATCAAACGGATTTATTATTATGAAATAATTTAGTCCAATTTAGTTTAATATAAAACATAAGACATAATGTCTTAATAAAATTGTGTTCTTACATTGATAGATGTATATTAAATGATAGTTTAAAACAACACATTTAATGAAATAACGCATACCATTCACAATTTTGCTTTAATTTGTTTCTATATAAATTTGTATATACGAAGTTATTTAATAAACATTCATGGATCGTCTGATGCATAGTAAATAAATAATAAATAGCGTTATTAAAAGGGATAATTTCTAAAGGTCCAAAGATCATTTTTCATGTTATTTTATCACAATGTTTTACATTATATCAATTTCATAAGTTAAAAGAAATTATATTATTTTTATTTATTAAAGTTTATAAATATATATTGTACTATATTTAAATATTGCCCAAAAAATTTTCGAATTATTTTATGATTTTTAAATGTGTTTATTATTCATTTTTCTAATATTTTTTAATCATTTTAATATCAATGACTTTAGATTATATCAAACTTTAATATGTATAAAGTACAAGTTTGCTCAATTATATTTGAATATCAAAATAAAGTTTTCAAGACATATCAGGTACCATTTCTTCGATCTTTCATCTCATAATTACTTAATAACAATTATCTTTTTGGATCTTTGGACAAAATTTAAATCCCAAGTAACGTGTTCTTGTTACCGGGCATAATATTACTTTGTCTTTTATACATATATATGTATATATATATATATATATGTCATATTTTTCCAAAGATAGTTAAATCATTATTTCATAATATAATGTCGATCATAATGTAATATTCTTAAAATTTTGTATAGCTACATGCACACGCATAAAATTTTGTGTAACACCATTTTATAAATCTTAATAGATATAAAATATGGTAATCGGTCATTTGATATCATTAAATAAGGTAAAATGAAAAATTTTGCGATATGTACACGAATTTGGGAATATAATGATGCCCAATGTTTTACGGAAGCGATTGTTAATACGTATTTACAATATATTTTCGATACTCAACAAAACTTTCTCGCAATGGAGTCAAAATAAATAATGTTTCCATTAACAATTTGTTATAATAATAAATATTTTTTCTCTCTTATTCAATCTTGACACGTGATATTTGTTTTATAAATATTTTATTATTAATTTTATTTATTTTTTCTTTATTTTATATTTCTAAAACGAAAAAAGAAAAAAATATTTAACATAAACGGTTTATATATTTTTTATTGTAATATAGTTAAGTTTTAAAAATTTTTATTTTTTCAAATGTTATTTGTTATTGTAAATTTTTAAATTTTAATTATTAATAGATGTAAATACTTAATAATAGAAAAGGAGAGTTCTTGTATTTCTTTTTATGGATATATAAATTGTGCTTTAACTTATTTAAAAAATAATTTGAGAGAATTTTTAATATTTAAGATTTTTTTTTTTCTATGTAAATTTGCACCAGAGATATCAACACATACTATAGTATAGATGAATATTTTTTTGAAAAAGAAATTTTTTATGATTCTTTTATTTATTTACCTTTTTTTTTCAATTGCAAATAGAAACTGGGTAAAATAATTAGAAATAGTTTTAATAGTAGTTTAAAATAACTTTTTATATAATTTATTTATTATAATATATTTATAATAAATATAAAAGAATATATTCATATATATTTATCACATATATTGAATGATATTAATAAATTTTAAAATACATAATCTTAGATACGTTAACATAATTTATTCATACCAATATATATATAAATTTTAGCCAGTTTTATTTGCAAATTTTTCTCAAGAAATTTTTTTTCTTTTTCTTTATTTCATATTTATAATTCATTTTAAATATCATTATCATTTAATAAATTGTCGATAAAAAGATTGATAAGATAAAGATTGTACCATGTTCTGGATGATGAAGAAACGAAATGGATAAAAAAAAAAAAAAAATTCTCACAAACTTTTCTTTTTTACAGGAGTCCTCCCGTGGAAATTTGGTGATGGGTGTCGTAGAATTTAAAACAGCGAAATTGATTTTCCTCCGAATACGAACGCGTTCGCGTTTTTCTTGAGCCTGAGCATTACGTTAAAATGAAATAAAGAAATTAAAGAAAGGGAAAGAAAAAAAAAAGAAGGAAAGAGGAAAAATATAAAGGGAAGCGAGTGTGAAGGGAGGCGAAAGTGACGAGCATGAATGGATGTATGAATGGGAAAGAATGAGAGGGCATCTTTTTCCTAATGGTAATTCGAAATAAAAATGTTAACTCATTGCCGCATATCTTAGGATCTTTTTTAATTTCTCCAACCATTCCTTACGAATCGATACATATATATGTCGCAAAACTGGTGGTACAGCTTAAGGGGTGAATCTATCCACACTACTGATCGAAAGTTTAGAATTATTAATTTGTATAGTTAACATATCTGATAAAATCTAAATATTTAAATTAACATATTTTTAACGCATAAAATTTTTATTTACTTAATCTGTTAAATTAATTAAATTTATTATTAATATTTATTCTAATTATAATCGTGATATTTATTTTAAAATAATCCAGATAAAATTTATAGTAATTGTGCAAGAATTATAAACTATCTTGCAAATTAATTTTTCATTTCTTTTAATTTTTACTTTGTTATTTTATCGAGAAGTATCTATATATAGTAATTTATTCAGAATAGACGTTGCTCTACATTTTTGATTCATTTTTTTTAATACAGATTCACCCCTTGCATCGCTAAGAATTTGAAAAATACTTTTATTTTCGTCTGTTTATTTTTCTGTTTTTATTAAATTTTTAATTCAATTTTAATTCAATTTTTAAAGAATGAAAGATAAATTTAATATTTTTATTTCAAAGATTTATTAAGCATTTTTCTTCATTTGTATTTTAACAGAAATCAAAGGGATTAAACATTTTTTAAATGATTTGTTATCTCGCAAAAAAGAAGCAGTTTTATATTTTATATTAAATGTTTTGATACAAGTATTTTTTAGGGAGATACAGATTGTAAAGTTAATTAATTATTGGTAATCTTATAAATATATATGTATATGTAAATATATTATGAAAGAAAGGATTGATTGTAAAACTAAAATCAACGAAAAGGTTGAAAGAATTGATCACTTCATTTGAAGTATCGTTTTATTGCATTTGTTTTCGGATATTTTTATATATGAATGAAATTAAATCAATATTGTTTTATTAAATTTATTGCGAAAATGAAGAAAACAAATATATATATATATATATATATATATATGTATAAACAAATATTTATATATATATATAAAATGTACTCGTCAATTCACAATCAATTTGTATCATAAAATATTTGTACATTAAATGTGATTATATGTAAAACAAAGCAAAAAAGAAAAATGATTCAAGAATCTAGTAAAAATTAGTTCTAACTGAAAATGAGAGAAAATGAAAATATCAAAAAGCAGGCACATATATATAGCATAAGCTATAAATTAATAAATAAATATTTTCACATTTTTTTTTTTCGATTCTTTCATAAACAATTCTTTAACAAGATATATATCTTCAATCTTTTTCTCCTTCAGTTATTATTCCCTCTTGCTTTCATCGTTTATAACATTCACAATAATTAATTCACTTTCTAATCCATATTCCTCCCTATAACTATGAAAAATTCGCAAACATATTTTTTTAAATAATAAACAACGATTTCCCATCTCATCAGATAGGCATTTCACTCTCCAAATATCAGATTAAAAAAAGAGTCAACGATTTATACGAAATAAAGAAATAAAATAGAGTTATTCTTTTAGATGTTAGATTCAGTTTTCGAGTGTCTCTTTTTCAAGTGCATGCAGCTTGAAATATTTTTCAACGATTAATCGATTCTTCAACGAAATTTCTTTAATCAAAATCATTCTTATTCGTTCATATCCTCCGAGATCGCTTTCTTCGATTTATCTAGAAATGTGGTCGTCGAGTTTAATCCAACAACGGTTGTGGTCGTCGTCTCGCTTACAGATGAATCCCTTTTTCTGTATGGATTCGATGGTGGACAGTATAATCTGTAAATTAAATCGTTAACGAAATCCAAAAACGTCTAAGTATATTAAATCGTCCCCATTTAAGCGTTTTAACTTTTCATCATTATATTCTATCTATACAAATTGATACTTTAAATAACGATTCAACTCGCGAAAATCGCATAATCGCAATTGTTCGTAGCGAGTTTTTTTTTTTTTTTTATTTTTTTCGAACGAAAGGTATGAATACATTTGAGAATAAAACTTTGAAGAGTTTCTCTCGAGAGTATTTCTTACAAATGGGCATTGCATTGCATTGTTCAGAAATTAGAAGTTTCAACGCGGTATCCACTAGCGAATGATAATTCTCGAGAATTTTATTCTCGAATATATTATAATTATTAATCCTCCAAAGTTGTTTTTCGCAAGTGGACGATTACGAAATATTATTATATAATTTTTATGCTCGATGCAGAGTCCATTAGCGAAAAATAAACTCTCGAGAGAAATTCTCGAAAGTTTTACTTTCAAATGTATTATTCGTGACCCAATGAAAATATTCCTTGAACGAAAATTGAACGACGTCAAAAGAGGTTAAATGAGAGTTAAGTGATTTATTAGACGGATTAAGGGAATAGAATACCTTATACTCTCTGTTCTTGAACGGGGAGACCAATTGTTATAATACCTTCTTTCTGTGTCCAGATCGCGGGCTGTGGTCCAACGTTCGATGTGGCTTTTCACCGTGTTTCGTACCTCGGTATTCAGGAAACAGTAAAACAATGCGACGAATAGTCCCTGAAAATGTTAAATATTTGTATTTCAAATGTGATATTGGTACTCCTAGCATTTTTATTATTTTTGAAGGAAAGTTAATTTTTGAAGTTTTGATTTTTTTACTCTGTCGTGGACTTTGTGTTTAATCAATTTGTTACTTATTAATAATAGTTCTACCTATTACTATTGTTATCTATTAATAATAATTCTATTACAGATTGAGAATGAAAAGTTGAACAGAGAATTTTAAAGTTTCGAATAATTAAGATTAATTAATAAAATTTGAAATTAAGTCGAGAATGTTAATTGTTAAAAATTTTTTTTTTTTTGTAAAGATTATTATCAGAATATCATATATAAAATATTTTAACTCTTTTACTTAATACTCCAAGGACATTATAAAAACTCTTTATTCCAAATATATATATTTTTATTTTTTAATTTTAAGAATTTTTTTCTTATTTGTAGAATTATTTTCGAATTATTATAAATTTTTTTTTTTTAACAATGAAATTGATATATACAAAATTTTTCTTTGTTCGCAAAGAACAAGTTTAGATTTTAATTCGAAGGAACAGATAATATGAAAAAAAAAATTTTGTAAAAGAGATATTAATTGATGGTATGTCTATAAAATTATATATATATATAAATTTTATATAAATATATAAATATATTATATAAATATAAATTATATAAATATATTATATGAATTTTATATAAAACTTGCCAGATTTTCTTAGAGATAAGTACATATTAAGATCTATGAGGTTTCAAAATTCGCCATTTTAAATGAAATATCAAAAGAATTTATGAAAAAATATTTGAAAAGAATTCGTTTCTGTGGAGAGAATAGAAATTCTTTTAAAATAAACAATTTTTAAACATTTGAATTGTCGAAAGGCCCTCCATCTTAGTAACATTTTTTTGAATCTTTTCTTAAATTTTCTTTTTTTTTTTTAATTTTTTAAGAAATTATTATTAATTTTCCATTATAAATTCAGTTATTATGTTTCTTTATAAAAATTTCAATGTATCTTTTTCTATTGTTTCAGAAAAAAATCTTGGCACTAACGAGGAAAAGAAAGACTCCAAAATCAGGAATTAAAATTTCATAAGTTTCAAAATTTAAACAACAACAACACAAATTAATTTTTTTCCCAAATTGTACGACTTTATTACAAAAAATAAAAAGAATCAATTCTCGATTATATAAGATACGTTCGTATAAATTCTCATTGATAGAAAGAAATATTGAAAAAATAAGAGATTTTACTGATATGATAATGTACAAATATGTTAAATACAAATTGTAAATATCATACATTTATGAATAAGCACAAATAATAAATAAACATTGTATCTGTATTAATTAGTACGATTAGAAGTACAGTATAGAAGAAAAAAAATATTAAACCGTTGCAATTCACAAAAAAACAATCTTTGGAAAAATTAAAATCGGCCATTTTTAATATTATCCAAATTTTCAATTTTATTTATTCTCTCTTATTAAAACTCGAAATCGATATCTTATCTAATATCTAAAATCTAAAATCCTTAATTAATCTTTCAAAAATCAAAGAATAAAAAAATAAAAATCCAATAAATTGAATTTTTTCTTCAATTTTTATAATCGAACAAACGTGAAAAAAATCGTCTTAAAATTGTCTTCTCGCATTAAACGTTCACGGAACAGAAGATAAAGAGAATTAAACAAGGATCAAAGAGAATTCTCAAACATATATTCAAACGTATATTCACGTTTGATCAAAAGTGGAAGTAACATTTCGCGATGAACCACTTTCTTTCTGAATTTTTTCCTTCCAAGCGAGGCGAAGTTTTTGTAACGAGATATACTTTTTCCTGGTCGCATTACCTGGGAAGAAAGTAACACAGCTCGAGCGTAGGAGAATGCATTAGCAACCTGACCCTCGGTGGGTCCTGTTAGCACCAAGACGTAAGTCACTCCGAGGAGCGGTATCAGAACCAGCAATGCTTTGCTCGCTTTTCTGTATTGCTGAGTTTCCACGTTCGTCGCGGACCAGAGCTTCGTTATCAACACCTGCAGAAAAGAAAATTTTACAAGGGAAGTGTAGTACAAGAGAAAAATAAATTCCATGATATGGGTTGGAATTTGATTTTTGGATGTTTTTTAAAAATTTTAAATTTTGAAATATTGAAAAATATATATATATATATATATATATATAAGATTTAAAAATGGAAAAGTATGATTTATTTATTTATATATAAAAAAATTATGGAAATTTTAATCTAGAAACAAAGAAATTAGTATATTATAAATTGAAATTTAAAAACTGTACTAATCATTATACACTATTTTTACATAATTTTTACGTTCATGTATTATTTAAAAAAATATAATATGAAAAAGAAAATGGAACTATTTTTATAGTTATTTTATTCAAAAACGATGTAAAAATATTATGAAAACAACTGAAAAATGCCATAGAAATATAAATGCAATTTTCCTTATAAAAAAATATGTAAACAGTAACATTAATAATTGTAATCAATTGTTGATGATATATATTAACAATAAAAAATATAAAAATTATTAAATAATTGATAAATTATAATAGAAAAATCATTTATCGATATAGATTTTGTAATATATATTTAAATTTATCTGTCGTGATCTCGCGCGCGGCGTACGCTTAATGTCGGAGAAAGAATATTACGGCTTAACATTTAGTTCGTCTCGAGCTATCGAGAGAGAAACATCGATTCTATCGATCCAATCAAATTAAAAATTATCTTTCAATTATAATTTATACATATAATATTAATTATAAATTAATAGAATTACTATATTATTATTTATTATTTATTGTTTATTATTTAATTTGTTATTAAATTTTAATTTTTAATTTTTATTGTTAATTTTAATTTTTTATTTTTAATTTAATTTTAATTTTCAATTGAATTCGATTTTTAATTTTGATTTTTAATATATTTTAACTTTAAATTTACTTTCAATTTTTAATTTCAATTTTATTTAATTTGACTTTTAACATTTTATTTTATCATTAATTTACATTAACTCTTGATTTTTAATTGAATTCCGAATTTGGAATTTTTTTAATTTCTTCGTTATTTTTTCTTTTTTTTTTTTTATGTTTTTTATATTGTTTCTTGTTGAATCATTCTTGTTGAATTCATTCTTTTATATTTGTTTTTTTTCTTTTTTTTTTTTTTCGTTTTAGCAATAATTAGAGCTGATATTTGTTGATATAAATTCAATAATTAATTAAATTTTTCTTATTTCGTTTTAAATAGTGAAATAATAGTGAAATATATTTTTGATAATGCCAATAGATTTAAGATTTAGATTAAATTAGATTAAGTTTCATCGTTGGATAATGTGAGATAAATTGCAAGCGACAAATATAACAAACTTTTCTAAAGATCAAAATGTTTAGATTTATTTATATATAATATTTATTTCTTATTTGTTTTATATCCCTTTTAACCATTATTTTAATTTATTTTTCACGTTTTACGTTTTTCTAATTTGTTCAAATTTAATCATTAATTTTTAATAATATCTTATTTTTATTTTTTAATTTCAGATGGGTCTCAGATGTAGTCATCGTGACGAGATTTGGTAATTGATATCGATTTTTCAAAAATTAATTTTTTAGAAATCAAGTTAAAAATTACGCAATATGTGTAATCTAATCTAAACTTATGTTATTTCTTTTGGATATGTTGATTATTCAAAGTAAACAATAGATATCGTTTCATCAATATACTTTATTAATATCCGTTGTGAAACATCTTAGAAATGTCATGTGATGATTATTGCAATAGAAAAGTTATATTTTAAAATTTTAAAAAGCGATGTCAAGCTATTATATTCATTTACATAGAGATGGCGTTAATAGTTCATTCTACCTTATCTCTATCTTTCTTCCACTATTTTCTATTCTTTTTTCTGTGTTTCATTTGCGGCACTCTAAAGATGGCGCTGATTTCAATATTTTTAATCTATTTCCATCCTTCTCACTATTTGCTCTCCTTGTTTATATTACTTTCATCTGCACTTTAGATAGCAGTGATTTCAATATTTTTTTTATCAATTAATTTTATTTTTCTTCTTCTATTTGCTTTCCTTATCTATATTTAATCCTCAAATTTATATACTTAAAAGATAATATCAATTTCTGATTGAAAATCCCAACGCATTTCATTGAATTTTTATACCTTATATATATCTTTTGATATTTAAGTAAATGGACAATTTTTATTCTATTTTTTTTTATTTATATTTTAGATTTTCTAATGTTTTATCTAATTTTAATATTAATTTTCTATTACGTTATTAAAACTATACGCGACATAAATCCTCTTAGAATAACGATATTATTTATTGTAACGTTATTTTATGTTAATTTAAATTTACCTATTTCTAAACATATATACCATTACACGTACACATATACATATTTCAGAAATATTTCAGAATTCGACAAAATATCTCTTCTCGTATCATTATTCTTTATCATTCACGTTTGTTTCTCTCATTCAATGGATCGAGATCAGGAATTCACACGTACTTACCCACATTATCATAAAGAGGAACACGACGTTCACGCAAAGAACCAAAATAGCTGGGGCTTGGTAAAACCAGTCATAAGCATGCGATACCATCCAGGGACAATGTTTGCCTAGCGCAATATCCTGTGAACATCGTAAGTTATATTTATTAGTTGAAACTGGGCCAATTCTCGAGTTTAATTTTACGGGACAAACACGTTCTTTTCCTCGTGGATAATCAGCGAGAAATATCTCGTTTCTCGATGATTTTCATTTTCACCTCGTTAATTTCAATTATTTTCCAAGAATGTTGGAAAAGTCACGTTGCATGACGAGAAAGAGAAACGTAATTAACGTATCCACGTGGATACGAGTTTCCTTTGAGAAAATTAAAGGTATTGATGAGAGAGGTTGTTGCACGATGAGCTCATGCAAATTCGTGGAAATTGTCTGATACAAGTTATTCAATTATTGAGACGTCAGACTGTTAGGGAAAATTTGGACAACGTGAGATGAGTTGAGAAACGGTTATAGAAGTTATGGAAGTTTGGATTAATATAAATAACATCGAAGGAATTAATAGATTTATAAAAATTAGATTTATAAAAATTTTTAGTTTTATTTAGAATCGAGATAGGAGAAGTTCAATCGGTTTGAAACAATTTCTTCAGAAATGAAAAACGAAACTTTTATCTCTGCGACATTGCTTATAGAGAGATATAGCAATGATGCATCAACACTGCACCTTTTTCCAACTCTATAAAACTTAAACTTTGTGAGAATTCAAAGAAATTTGATATTGAACTTCGAAACTAGACTCCGTCCCTGGAGTCACTTATGTAACATCGTGATCTTATCGTGTTACTCTTATTCAACTTCATTTTTTATTAATAATTCTATTCGATATTTCTTCACTTTTTATTGGTATAAAAATGTAAGAAAAGTAATATTAAGAGATCAATGCTGAAATCTTTTTTTAATGTATTATTATTATTAATTTTTAATCACAAAAAAGCAAAAGAAAATCAACAAGACGATCAAATTCCTCTTCCACGATAAAAATGATCACGTAATAAGTGTCAATTTATCATCACACATTAAGTATATTCGTGATATATATGTATATTGACTAGAAGGAATTATCTCTTTCTCTTCCTATTTTGTATCGATTTCTTTTTTCTCTTTATGTCACGTTGTCATCATTGTGGATCGTGTCTCGAAACTTTTATCCAATATTTCCCGATACTAGCACCGGAAATTGATACGTCGACAGAATCCCTTGGATTTTTGATCTCGGGCATTCTTTCTTGATATCATACATAGGATAAGACGTGTTATTTTTCTTATATGAGTTTACGATATTAAAAAATCCCATTTTCTTAAAATTTTTACATAAGTTTCTTTTAAAATATGTGGAAACTATGTTTCCTTTTTTTTTTTTTTTTTTTTTTTGATTCAAGATCGATTTAGAGATTTTTATTTGGAAAAAGAACGAAGATAAAGGTATTAAAAAAGTTTTCATTATTATATAGTTTTTCAATATTCTTACACTTCTCGTATCTTTCAATATTATATCCTGATTCAGAAGAGAATTATTAGAAAATTAATTGCTGAATATCGAGAGAATCTCTCTTGGAGAATTTACGTGGCTTGATTTTATCAGTTTGAAATAAAAATTATTAAGACCATCTAAAAATTTTGCGATTTTAATTAAAATTACGCGACACCTCGAAGTTTGGGCAAAGTTTGTACGATAATTATGATTCACGCAATGGTTATGAGTTATTTCCTCGTACCTGACTCGTTGCGCTCTGGTCCAGTGATTTGGCGATGCACCACATGGTGATAAACAGAACCGGTATACCTGAAATTATATCGATCTTGTTTATGCAAAATATATTGACAACGAGTCATCACACACTTGACAGAATTAGAATAACTTATATTCAATAAGTTACAAGAAATGAGATTAATTTTTATTATTTTTCTTACGTTAAAAAGAAAATTGAATAATTGATATTTTCGATCAAGAAGATTTTTAATAATAATTAAAGCGAATATTATTAATTAAAGTTAAAACATTTGTTACAAAATTATTATAAATTACATCTAGGATAATGGAATTTCTCAGATATCTTTGAGTATTAATCGATCAAAGCTCAAAGTGTATATTCGTAGTAAAATAGTTCAACAAATAGGGGAGGAAATTAAAGGAAAGCACTTTGACATAACATACTATGAGGGATTATAGGAATGACGAGCGAATTCATCTTCTTCCCTTCCAAACTTCATTATTTTATTCATCGAATCTCGTTTCTTCTTCGTTAACTTTTATCATCTCTCGTACTTTTTTTCTTATTCTTTTATTCAAATTTCTTTCTTTTTTTTTTTGCATCAGGGATACGTGTGCAGTATATAGCTCAATATTGATATTGATTTCGGTCGATATTGATTTCGGAATGCTTCCAATGGAAGCAGGATATTCTCGATTATTAGAATAACCTTCGCACCTCGTGTGCGAAATACGAATTTTGCAAAAAAAAAAAAAAAAAAAAAATAGTCACAGTAGAGGTTACTCCTCGTGCAACTTCCTCTTCCTTTTTGACAGCACGAAATGTATAAAGCGTTGATGATACTCTTGTTTCTTCGAGTTCTAGCTTCTTCGTTATTCCAGATCCAATGAAAAATCGTCAATTCCGGATATTCGATAATCGATCTCTCGAAATTTTCATTTCTACATTCTCGTCATTTCGAAACGATCTATTCGTTGAAAAAAAAATTAAACGTGCGATATTTTTGTTGTTCGTGACATTTTATTACGGTCTATTTTTTTTTTTTTTTTTTTTTTTTTTTTTTTTTTTTGAAAAGAAAAGATAAAATCGTGAGACTTTACCCCAGCCTATAATAAGACACAGCCTCAACTTGATATTGTCGCCCGTGAAAGTCTTTACGACCAACAGGTATAGATAGAGACCTGAAAGAATAAATGTGCGATTAATATAAATGGATAATAAAAATGAATAAATGAACGAATGAAATTTGTAACAGATATTATTCGGAAAAATGTGAAATCGATTCGAATGACGTAATAAGTGGATACTCGAGAATTATCGAGAAATCGAAAAGTGTGATTACCTTCGACGAACATCCAGAAATAATTGGTCAGTTGGAAATAATGAAACAGTGACAGGAAAGCGATACAAGTCGGTACGTCGGGTTGCATCGAGACCTGGAAAAAGCGATCGTTCGATTCAAAATTCCCGCCAGAATTATTTCGTAAATGCGATTGAATGTTTATGTAAAAAAAAAAAAAAAAAAAAAAAATTCGAAGAAATTTTGTTGAACATTCCACGTGTATATATTTTATTCTTCATAATGAAAATTTATGTTTCTACTTTAGAGAAAATAATTTAGCATTTTAATTCAGTAAACGAAAATATGTTGGATAAAAAATGTATCTTTTTTAGAAAAACATGAAGTTGGGTTTTTATTTTTTTTAATTTATATTATTTGAATGAAGTTGTTGAATTACTTTTTTTTTTTTTTTTAATAAAAAGACGAAAAATTTAATCAATACACTGCATCGCAAAATTATATTTACTTTGTCTTATTTCATTTGTTTTATCCGCTTCAATAATTGATCTAATTATTATTTATTTCATCATGGCCATGACTTTTTTTTTTATTCGATCACAATTACTTTATTCTACTATTTTTACTCAATTTCTCGATTTAAATTTACTTATTTTTATAATATATTTTATAAAGTAGAAACGGATAAAAAACATTTCTCATTATCGTTATTAATAAGAAGTTATTTCGTTTTTTTCGTACTTTTTTTTATTTCGTACTTTCTTTTTTTTTTTAACACAATTTTAACATCGTTAAAATTCTTGTTAAATTATAAAATCTTTAACACGGGGAATAATTTTTTTTTTTTTTTTTTTTTTTTTCTCTCATCCATCCCGTCTGTTAATTCATGTCACCGAAAGCATAAAAATGGCGGATGGATTGGTAATTAAAAGTGGCCGGTGAATTGAATTTTACACGGAGGCCAATTTCATTCGTTCGTATCGGCCTTTTAATTATCGAAAAACCAAAGGCGTATCGGCCATTTCGCCGTAATTAATTTTCCTTTCCACTGGGGCTCGTTACCGCGACTATCAGATGTTTCGCCATCGACGAACAAACATGTTTCCGGTCACGTTGGCAACTAGCTCTCATCGGTCAAGAAAGGAAATCATGTAATTCACCGATAAAATGTAAAGCCCGCCCCTGAAATATCCTTACAAACTTTATTTTGAAATTTTAAATTTGGACTTTCGCGATCGAGATCTCGCGCACACTTTCGTATTTTTTCCTTGAATTTTTACGAAAGTAACGTAAAGTTAATTTTCGTTCTAAATTATAAAATAATTATTTTCACGAGCTTTTGCTAAAAATATAAAATTTCTTTCCGGTGAATTTATCTCTTTTTAAAGAGAAATCAATTTTGAAACACTGTTATGAAATTTTGTTGATGATACGAAGAAATATCGAAATGGAAAATGTGATAATAAAATTTCACATTGTTTTTAAAATATCAAATTGAAAAGAAATCGGAGAATAAAATAACAGAAGAATGATAAATGGCGAAGAAAATATTTGTCGATATGAGGAAAAGGAATAAAATATAGCATACATACGCGAAAATTTCTTTTGTTTAATGTATCTGATATAATATATTATTTTAAATCGTGAATGTTATTATTGTGTAATTCTCGTTGATAAATCGAATTAGCATAATTAACTCGATGGAGATGTTTCATAACTCATGCATATTTGCTGTTATAACATTTCATGGGTTATTTCAACTTGTTTAATAAAGGAGAATTATATTTTCAAAGAAGGTTTCGCGAATATTATAAAAATTATAAATAAATGAATATAAATAAAGAAGAAAAATACAAATAAATCGTGAATAAGATATTTTATTTTTTGCTTCAAATTATTCATTATAACTTTCAGAGTGGTCAATTTATCATTTATTTGAATTTCACGGAAAATTTAAATTATCGGTCATTTTTTTTTTTTAAGAGATTCTATTCTAGTTTTACGTTTCAGCAACAAGTGGTAGCAAATTCTCTTTGTACTGCATCAAATAAATATCTTGAATATTTTCATTTTCTTTAATTCCTTTTCACAAACATTGATGCATGATATATATATTTTTCAGCGAATAATTGTATTTTATTGTAGAAGAGAGAATTTTAATTCTAAAATTTCAAACGAAGAGAAAGAGAGAATGAGAGAGAGAGAAAGAGAAAAAGAGAAAAGTTTTATAAGATTTCAAAATTAAATTCTTTCATGGAAAAATCTTCTAACTGGATTAACCTGATTTCTATGTCACAACGTAATTTCAACATATTTACATTTTACATTATCATTTCGTCACTAAAATGAAGCAAAATGAAAAAAAGCAAAATTCCTATTTATTTATTTTTAATTCGATTTCTTGAAAATTTTTAACATCAAGTGATTAATTGCTTATTTTTTTTTTTTTCGAAAGAAATTACAAATGCATTAAGGAATTATCCATTAAAAAAACATAGCATTTTCTATGAAAGTACCTGCATCACGTTGTTTAGAATCCACATAAAGTCTGCGAGGATGTAGGTGAACATCAAGTTAGTGTGTATGTTGTTCCTAATGCACCTGAGTTCCCTGGAAAAGAATTAAAGTGATTGTTAATTAATTTGAAACTGGGGGAAAAAAATTAAGCGAGACAAGTAGTACAGACAGTCATTAGGCAACTAAAAATGTAGATAAAATAATTAGAAAATACTTAATAAATTAAATAAATCATTTTAAAATTTAATAAATCATTAGACTAGTAGAAAAGATCAATATATGAGCTTTAGTATCCCACTTGTGATTGATCGATACTACTTTTCCGACTTATACTACTCGGTTGGCTATAACATGTCTGTTCTACTTGCTCGATCAATAATTAATTTATACTACTTGACTCATGATTTTTTTCTAGAGATCTTTTATTTAGATTTTTTTTTTCGGAAGAATAATTTAATTAGATAGAAACGTTTCTTTATATCCAATTGATCACTGATTAATTATTTTATATTGAAATAATAAAACAATTTTTTAACAAAAAGTAATGATAACAGCTTCATACGGATTGTAACGAAAAAATTCGTAACAAAAGAAAATTGGTTCTACAAAGTAGAAACAGGTTTTGTATATTCAGAAATCCTTTGTAATCAGTGCACCCAGTGGAAACTAACAAACATAAATCATAACAACCCTTTACAAGTAGAACAATTTTAAGCAAATCTGTGATTCTGCATGTTGTGGAATAAACTCAATTAGAACTAGTTCCACGGGAACAAAATGATTGTTTGAGTAATAATAAAATACATTTTTTTTTAAAACGGTCTTTTTTTATGAATAATTTTCGTATGTTATGCCAAATATTATTTTTCGTTCATTTTTTTTTTAAATAATTCAATCTTACAAATCCTAAAAATAGTAAGATTTTTAAATTAAATTTATCTTTATCGTATTTTTCCAATTCCAAATAAATAAATAATAGAATTTTTATTTTCGAAATTTGATAAAAAAAAAAATTCTCTGTTATACATTCAATTGAAATTCTTCTCCTATTCTCTCATCAAATCACGTCTTTTTTTTTTTATAAAAAAAAAAACCAATATTCATTTTTGCAAAAATTCAATTTAATAGCAAAGTTAGTCTTGTAACACAACATTTCATTATAGTTTTCTAAACTACAATTTTATTATTACAATACAGAGTAGGAAAATTATTTTTCATTGCGTGATATTAAAGTGAAAGTTTGCATTGCGTTTATGACTTTAGTGAACGAGAAAACTTTGAGAATAAAAACTGTGTAAACGTTTTTTTCACGTATAAAAATATAAAATATAAAAATATCCACGTATAAATTGTATTCAATTCAATTCAAGGAACACCGTGAAAAAGAACACGGATACTCGAACGAATAGCATTCCTCGATTTCTACTTTCCTTTCATTTAAGTGGATCGTTTTCAACACAGAGTTGATACAAAGGACGGAAGGCACGCAATTTACTTGTTTAAAGGGACGATTGTTTATTCCAGCCAAAGGAAAAACGAGAGGAAATAGAGGAAAACATTATTCCGTGCGTAAAAATATATCGAAGAGGGAGAAATTGGCTTTCACCTTTGGATTTCTTAACATTCGAGATCTTCCCTCCCATTGTTATTGTTATTCGTAATTTTCGATTTTAATTAATAAGATTTTTCATTATTCAAATTTTAACTAAAATTCCTCGCTTTGTTATTCGATTTTTATTCCCAATAATAATTTATTTCTCGCGCTATTGCCTGATAATGTAATTGAATACTTTGGTTAACCGAAATCCTACTACTCAAAGCTTTAATATGTCATGTACACACACAACGGGATATGCATGCAATACGATATGATACATATTGGATCGATAAACAGAATTATATAAACATGTAATGTAAAATATGTAATGTAAAACGTGTAATAGTACAGGATATTTTAAAATAAGCAAATAAGCAAAACATTGTTATATATGTAGAAAAATAAATTAGAGGAAAAAAAGTCTTTCTTTTTTTTTCTTAGTTGATTTTGATTTCAATGCAAATTATTTACATCAATGTTTAATTTTTAATTTCTCTTTTTTCTTCTTCTTTCAATTACTTAAATCTTCACGTTGAGTAGAGTTTTGAAATGATATTGAAACAAATGCTTTTTCGATTTTAATGCAAATTATTTACATCAATGTTTAATTTTTAATTTCTCTTTTTTCTTCTTCTTTCAATTACTTAAATCTTCACGTTGCATAGAGTTTTGAAATGATATTGAAAAAAATTCTTTTTTCTCAAGATATTCAGTACGCAACAGAAGAGAATTGACAAAGACATTTTCTACCTGTAATAAGCTTGGCTACTTAACCAATAAACCAACAATTTTTCCTTCTTTCGTAAATTTAAAATCCCGTAATTTAAATGCCGCGTACGGGAGAATCGTAGGTACAACGAGGAACGAGGTTTCACGAGGAACGAACCATTTGCCAGAACCATGATTTACGTCCATGAATGTCAGCCAACGATGTAATTCCTGAATCAGATATGGCGTAACGCTCGTGTATTGCGTTGTGTTTCGCGAGGATCGTTTCAGCTGCACGATATTACGAAGACAAAGGAGGAGACGATAATTTCTCGTTAAATTCCTCCCGATTTTATCTTCCCGTTATCAGGACGTAACCGTTTAGAAGATGTATATATTTAGAATTATAAAGTAGAAGCGTTAATTTCGTCAGATATTAATGACGGAATTGGAAATAGTGGACAAGAAATGAAAAAAGAGCTGCTACTTTTAATCTCTCAGTGTTATCCTTTTCCTTTGGCATGATTCTATATACAATAAATAAACTACACTTCGTATAAAGTAATTCGAATTCCAGCAGAATTCGTATCATACGAAGTAAAATTTAAAATACTTCATCTTCCCGCCAAAAATTTTTTTTACTCGAAATTTCCTTTTTAACCCTCATAATATAAATCACCATTGTTACGAAAATTATTCGAGAATATCGATGATTAAAAAAAAAAGAAAAAGAAGATTCGAAAGACATTCGTGGATGCAATGGAATTCTCGTAAAAACTCGTACGAAATTATTTTTCGCAAGATTTCGCGCTTAAATTCGAACGAGTCGTGTTTTCATCGAATGTATTAAACCGTACATCGTTCTTTTCATTCGCACAAAACCGATACAAAAGTATCTTCTTCTCCGTTATGTAACGTTCAATCGGGAATTGGTGGCACGAATTTAAAGCAAATTATCCCGAGGTGCGCAACATCCATTGCTTTTCAACAGCCGCGAGAGTGGTTGCCTTGCAAAAGCCCGATTAATTGTTAAGCGTTCATACGGCGCATAGGATGCAATGGACGGAGAACAAAGGAAGAGCGTATCAAATAAAACACAGGGAAGAGGGTCCCTGTGGTAACGATGCGAAGAAAAAATCTGCTCCTGATGATATAACGTTTCCGCTGTTTTCTTTAATCCTTTCGTAAATCAACGATTCTATTGTTTCTTCCCAATTTTTATTCCGTGTTTTAATAATTTTTATTATCGTTATTCATTTAATTAGAATTTTCATTCCCATATTATACGAATTAATAATTGTAGTATAATTGAATAATGTTTTTTAATAATTTGATGATGATGTATTCAGAGTTTTCTTATGCATTTCGATTAATATTATTGTATTTATTTATAATCCTTGTTACATTAATGGTATTTTATAAGTGATTATGCATTTTACGAAGAATTTGAATGTACAAAAATCTGTAAAATGCGCATGACATGAATATTCAGTGTATGCATGATATTTAAAGAATAAGACAAATCTATATTTAAGCTCCATTTCATTAATCCACTCCATTCTATATATCCATAATGTATTTATAAGTTCTCGAGATTGACAATTAAGAACGAAGAAATGCAAAATCGATCAAGAAAAATACATAAAATTATATATAGAATAGAGAAATTATATAATAGTTATATTATATAATTATAATATATTATATTATAATTATATAATATAATATTTATTAATATATAATATAATATTATATTATAATATATTATAATTATATTATAATTATATAATAGTTATATTATATAATAATAGAAAAATTATATATATATATTATACATAGAATTTTATTTCGATTATGACTTGATATAATAGATAAAAATTTTATCATAATATAATAAATAATATAATAAATAAAATTTATAATATAATTTTATATAATAATATTGTATACAATTGTATACAATTTTAGTATACAAGAGCCTAATAATACATCCGGAGTGAAAATAATGAATTTTTCATATGGAAATTCGTTTCAAATTGCAAATGCTCTTAATAAAATATCCGTGTTCTCGAGCACTACACTCGGTATATATTCCTCGAATATGCCGAAATTTCTCTTTGCATGCGGGATTTTGATTTCAAAGCTTAGGAAGAGATAATTACACTCGGCCGACTATATATCTCATAATGCCGACTAATTACCTCCATATTGAGGAGAATCGTGATATCGTGAATTATTATCTTTTACTTGTTTACGATTCCACGTATAATATCCTTTCCACGTTTTCTGATGAAACTTGAACATAATTTCGAATCTTTTCGTTTCGTGAAAATATCGGTTTCGAATTATTTTGAAACTTTTTTATGAAAAAAAAAAAAATTTTTTTTTTTTATTATATCATACGCGAGTTTGAAACGTCATCACTTATTTATTTTCATTATTAATTTAACCTACATCAGATTTCTCTATTATGAACTATTCACATAATCTACTATCCATCTTGCATTAATCTACGACTAGGATAATAGTCATCCATTAGATTGTCAAGCTTACATTAATTTACAACCCCAAGTAATGTCTGTAAAATCATTCGTGTAAGCCAATGTGAATTTAAAGGAGATAATATAAAAATAAATAAATTATAAGAAAGAAAATCTCGTTTCAATAAAAATAAAGATACATTTCAATCAATTTTCACGTTCATCAAAAAAATAACAAGTATCACAATTCATCGTAAATCTTTCTTCAAAAAGAGATATAAAAGAAATATAAAGAAATTTTCGAACGATTAATTTGTTTCTCTGAATTTTGTCAACAAGTGAATCTTGTAATGCATTATGACGATACATAAATCTCCAACGAAACTTTCAATCAATTTTTTTATGTATGATTACGCTGTTGACTCGTATCGTATAAATTTAAAATCCAAGTGAAATTGCAAGACAATCTGAAAGAGAAAAATCATAGGAGATTCTCCTATGATGTATAAAGGAATTGGAATCTTTGCAATCGATCCATTGCAATCGTACATTTCGACCATCGCATTAGCCTAAAGTGTTCCTCGGTTAAAAAGCTTTACTTTTCAAAGGAACCATTTAGGAGCGTGCGCCTCACGGATAAAATTGAGAGCAGGTAGAGTGGAGGAGAAAAAGAAAAAAAAAAAAGAGAGACTCAGGAGGGTGATTCATGGCGATAGGAAGCCATGAAAAAAATTGACCTAATATTATATGCAAAGCGAAACTGAAGGATTACGCGCGATATGTATGTGTAATATATTATAGGTGCATTTTTTCTTATTTTTTTCCCTCCATTTTTTTCTTTAATTTCGTACGCGAATATATATTTCCTTTATTTGAATATCTAAATAGCGTATCTCGAGTGTCTTTCTTTTACGAAGATATTCGAGAAAAGTGGTTTGTTAAGAGAAAAAAATAAATAAATGTTTTTTATTTTTCATTTCGAATTTAAATTTCATGAATTTATTTTTTTTTTTTTTCCTTTATAAAATTGGTTATGATTAAATTTACTTTTTCAGAATTCCATTTCTATTAATTTTTAAACTTCGTTTCTTTAGGTTTTGTTTCAGAAGAGAAATAACAAAAAGATTATTATCGTTAATCTATATATTAAAACACTGAAATACAAAAAAATTTGAAACAATTAAAACAAAAGATTTATCTCTGTATCTCTGCTTCAAAATTTTTATCTCACTCACAGTTATAAATTTCAAATTTCCAGTTATAAATTTCAAATTTTTTGTTTTCGATTTTCCATCTCGTATTTCCCATAAAAAATAATAAAAAACTTTTCACCGCCCACGTATCAAAAAAAAAAAGGGAAAAGAAAAAGAAAAGAAAAGTATAACGATCAAAACGAATTATTTCAGTTTAATCTATCCCAATCGAATTTCCATGGCACAATCTTTTCAACCCAGTTATTTCGCAGTTCCGCTCATCCCTTAAAGCTAGTTTCCACGCGAAGTTAAATAATAACGTTTTCAATGCTTTTTTGCTGGTTTTCATTCGTTCTTTTAAATATATATAGTTTTCATCTTTGAAACGATCGTTCCTCTCGTTCCACGAAAAAAGACGTAGAAAGAATTTATTACATTATTTTGAATTCCTTGATTCGGCGATGGTTCAATTTCCGATTGCGGTGGAAACTCGATACAGTGTGGTTAACAAACAATGCGTCTCTGCCTTCTCGTTCGTTACCGCGCAAGCGTGAAAGATTTAATCGCGTTTTCCCTTTGTCAAGATGCAGATCGAATCGTGCGCGGAATATTCGCGAGGGAATATTATTTATCGATTTCGCGATGCATCCGCGTCGCGCTACATTTTGGATTCCGTTTACGAATTGATATGGAAATGAGAGGAACGGAATATATCGTCTTTCTTTGTCGTCGAGCGCGGATATTTTTAGACAGAAATTAAAGTTTGAGCGCGATGCTGATTGAATTTGTGCGATGGAGGAATTGAATAAATATAGATGTTTTTGTGAGTTTTTTCTTTGAAATTTTTTTTTAAATAAGTGGTTAAAATATCATCTGTTAAATGTTAAAATAGTTTGATTTTCGTGTAAATTTGGTATCATAAGTTAGAAAACTTTAATCGATTACAATGGAAAAAGTTATGATTCATAAGTTATGATTCACTTTATGCTAATCATCGCTTTTCAATAAATTTTAATTCTATCTTGAAATTTTATTTATTTGAACATTGATTCGAGCTCGAGAATTAATTATTACATTTTTCGTTAATTTTTGCTAAAAAAAAAAAGATTAATTAATTCTATATTCATCCAAGAGAATTAAAATTAATAAGAAATATTGGAACACGAAAAAATACATTTTTTTCATCAAAAATCCATCTTTCTCCGGTCAATTTTTACTTTTCATATGGAATCAACAAGTGCTTTAATGGAGGAATAATGCTACATCTATATCACTTACTTGCAATACAGAAAAATGGAGACAGCGATGATCAGGGTGATCAACGAAATGCTATAACCGACGAAATATATAGTCGTCGAGATAACCTCTGCACCGCCCTCGATCGCTGGCTCGCGAAGATTTCGACAGAGGCTATAGTTGCTATAATTGCTCCAGACACCGTCTATCCTGCACCAACGACTCGCGTTCTCTGAAAAAAAAATCGAGATCGATTTCTATTAGTTTAGCATTCGCGATTTAACGCTTTGTTTTTCTTTCTGAGATTACGTTATCGACACTCGGTAAAGAGATTCGTCGAAAAAATTACTGAGCATAAAAATCATATAAAAATTGAAGCAATATTTCCGGCAGAAGAATTCGAAAGATTTCGTGAGGAAGATTCGACGAATTATAATTCGCTGGTGGAATGGTCATCTTTGATTTTTTATAATATAAATGTTTTGCATTCTCTGAATTGATTTATATTATTGAATATAATACAAATGAATAAAATTATTTGAATTTGATGTTTGTTTTGTTTTTAGTTTGGGATCACGATTTATTTTTTCTTTTTTATTGTTTTTTGATTGTAGATTGTATAAATGATTTACGAGAAGCTACTGTAGGTAAAAAAGGACAAAAGTAATATAAATACTATAAATTAATTACATCAATTCTTCTTTTATTATGATTTTAAATATAGATATAAATGTAGTATTTTAATTAAAATTAAATTTTAATTAATTAAAAAAATTTCTTTCTCTTATATTACAAATATTACTATCTTTAAAAAGCAAATATTATATTATTGTTTAATGTTTTTCCATTTTACATATTATTTCATATTCTTCACACATTAATTAATGTAAATATATCATAATATTCTTTTTTCCCCCTCGATTTTTTTTTTGTCTATAAATGCAATATAATTCTTTAAAGAGTGAATTTTTTAATGAATAAATTTTGTAACGAGAATGCAGTAGAATGTCTAAATGGAGGTTAAAATCGACAAATTTTCAGGGTAACGGTGTCAGAATATTTGCGGAATCACAGTTATCTGATATAATTCACGGCTATTAAAAAAATGTTAATCGATAAGACTATGGTAAAAAGGTCATTCGACGTAAAACGAGTTTCTTAATTTATACGAGATACCGATCTTTACCATTTTTCTACTCAATAATTAAAAGCGATTTCGCCGTTCTACGACCAATTTAACTGTTGTTTTATTCCATTATTTATTCATATTCGATATTTGAGTTTCTCTATATTTACGTCGTAAATAAATTTTTAAGATCTTCTATTAATTAACCCATCACTCAATCTCTTTTATTATGGATTTACAAGCTATAAGTTTTATTAACAATTAATAAAATTATTAGTTTGAAATTAGATTTCAAGTTGAGTATTGAAAAAGATTAATTAATCGAGTAATCGGAAGAGAAGTTATAATTGATTGCAGTTTTTCATTTTGACGGAAGAAGAATATTTTTCCTATTGTTTTTTAATAAATATTTGATGATAATATATATATATATATATAAATACATTTTTGAAAAATAACCAACAAATAACCAATTTAAATATTCTTCGTTCACATTTATGAGCTAAATTATAAATTATATCACGTATATCCTTGTTTTCGCAAATGAATAACAACAAATTTGTAAAAATCCTTCAAATATAATTTTCTCAGAAGTGAATACAATACAATAAGAAAATCTGTAATTAATAAAAGGGGGAACGAGTTTAACAGGTTTAAGCAATTAAAACAAGAGCGATCCTTAATTATCCACGGATAATAGTCTTGTGATTAATGAAGGAAGAAAAGTTTGAAAGTGAGAAGACTTATCGGCGCCTCGTTTCTATCTTTTAATCGATCGAACGAGAGAACTTGTAATTATTGCCATTTATTAAAACGTTAATCAGAGAATACGAGAACAAATTTAAAACTCTCTTCTCGATTCATCGAGATTATTCCTCCAATCCAAAGACGTTTCGAAAATTAATTATCAAGATACACGGATGGGAACTAAATCGAATTATCTTTGTTTTTGTAGAAAGGTACAACAATTTCGAGATTTCCACGCGAGAAAACTTTATCTCGTGAGTCGTTTCCTTTGTTCCGAGTTGGATATAATGTTTCTTTGGAAATAAGCGGAGGCAAGTTGGTTGGAAAAAGTTTCCAGGCCGGATATAATATTCTATCATTTTGCTTTATATCACAAGAGTTATATAATTCTTTTCAGTAAAAATCTCATAACCTCGTGTCGCCTGTAAACCTGTACATGTTACATACCCTACGTGTATGGTTTTACGACACGCTTTTACTTTCAAAAATTCAACAAAGGATATCTTTGCAATATATCTGTACAATGTTACGATTGATCGTAATGATTATGTGGTGATCCTTTGAATATTTTTAATAATTTTTAATAATCAGAAAATTTTAATTTAAAATTGGTAAAATTTCTTCTTCTTTTTTCCCACGAAGAATCAGAGTCATCTTTTAATCTTTTAAATTATATTTCAGAAATAATGGACGAGAAATAAACGTGATTTCGAATTGTGACATCTTTCATATCGAAATATCTCGTTTTCGATCGATATGGCTGATCTCTACTACTACCTAACCAATGACTATCTTATTCTACTCGTTTGATCACGACTATCTCGTTCCTATCGAGAATTGGACATTAGTCCATTGAAAAAATAATTAAAAATTAATAATAAAATCATAAAATAACTTAAAAAAAATTTAAAAGTTACTTTAAATAATTATTAAAATTCTTGAATAACATTTATTCGTAGTTATTATAGTTGATCTTTTCATCTGATCTCGGTCATTTAGAATTAATATTTGCAATTATTATTATATTTTGAACAATAAATTATCGGAATGACTTATGAAAATAATTTTATTCGTAACTTCGATTATTAAATTTTCACTCGTCTTTATCATCTCGTTTGCCTGACAAATGACCGATCCACGCTACTTGCCTCGCAAACGACCGACTTATACTACTTATTCAACTTCTAAAACTCTTTCTCTTTCTCTTTCTCTCTTTCTCCTCTCAACTAACAATCCTATCCAACACTCTGCACGACATCGAATCCCAACGTTGAAATCCCCCATTCGAAATAAAATGTAGGAACAGCCGGCGAACAAACGTTGAAATTTCAAATTTTTCGTTCGCGAAAAGTTGTTATTGGATCAAATTTCGTCCCAGAGGCGCATCGTCGTTGCCACTTTACTTTGTTTTTTTCGTTATTATACGACAGACACGTCGCATTCCAGTTGCCGCGAAAAACATCCGGTTCTTCCTTTTCTCGAATGGCAGGTCACGAAGGAAAGAGGGAAGGAAAGAGAAACGGATACACCTGGAAAACATCTATCTAATCGCAACGTACGAACTAATTCGTCGCGATACAACTATCGATTATCCGGACACGATCAATCTTGTGAACGATTTTCATTTCGTTTTGCGTGGAAATGGAAAGCCCTTTCCGTACTCTCGTTCTTTTTTCTCATCCTCCCCCCCCCCCCCCATGTGTCGTCGAGCAAAAAGCAACGAATCGAATAACAAAATTTAACAAAGAAGCCCGTTCGAAACGTCAATTTTGTTCCTTTTTATCCGTTGGATTTAATTTTAATAACGTTGACATTCTTCCTCGTTGCGAAAACGAAATAAATGCTCGGAGCTAATTTCCATTTAAATTATCGATCGCTTCGTGTGTGTTTTCAAAAAATTGATATAAAAAAAAAAGAAAAAAAAAAAAAGAACGGGCCAGGTGTAAAAATTTATGCGAAATTTTCAATTTATAAAATTTATAAAATAGAAAAAAAAAAAAAAAAAGGAAAGAAACAAAAATGCAGCGAGAATTTTAACCGAACGGCAAATTTACAAATAATACTAGACGCGTTATTGGGAAATATTTTCGTTGTTGTGCAAGTTCAATTGCCGTCAACTTTTGACATTTATGCCATCAACCACTGTTCATCGATAATTTGCTTATTCGATGCTTCGTTTCGAAATATTCAATTATTTAGAATCTATAAATAGGAAAATTTGTATGAAAATTCATTTTTTCTTTTTTTAATCATAATCAAAATTCCAATAGTTATCCTTCTTAAAGAAAAATTTGTCGATAATCGAAAGAAATTCTTCTAATTTTTCAAATAATTTCCAACATATAAGGTATCGGATAATATCTACATTTTTCGAATTCTTTCTATTGGAATATTTGAATATCAAATATGATATTTTTCTTTGAAAACTTGAATCCTTTTTTCTAGATTCATTTATTAATAAAATTTAACAATATTTGACAAAAAAAACTTTTCACCTCGATTATTTCTATTCTACTTAAACGGCCCCCCTTTTTCCTACTCTATTTTTATTTTCTTCCTTCTCTTATTCCACGACGTGTCCGACCAATTGCTGATCCACGCTACTTATCTCACTTCGAGACAAGAACAGACATCAAAATGATAAAAGTCATCGTATAAATATAAAAATATCTTGATTGATTTAGCTAAATCCACGTGCAATTAAAACTTAAGAAAAATATCAAGCGTATTTTCTTATTCTTGATAATAAAATGATTATATACATCCATCCAGACAATCCTGTATTTTGTATCTCTAGCTAACGAGATACGAACCGAACTATGCTTCCTTTTCAAATTTTTCCCTCCGATCCTTATCGTTATTCTCCTCCTTCTCATCCTTCAGCCGGCTTGTCGTCCATAATTGAAATATCCCGTTTTACGGGGAAACGCGAAACTTTGCTTCCGTTGCCAGGGGCTCGATCATTATTTGCCCATAAAATGGAAAAAGTTAGTTTTGGTTTGAAAAGGGGCGAAAGGAAGCGTAAACCAACCGTTTTCCTATTGTGACGAGATTAACCGCGTGGAAATTGTAGTCCCTTCTTCCATCTCTATGGCCACGAGAGCAAAATCGTGAAAGTTTCGAGATAGTTTTGCTCGAGATCTTTGCTTAAACTACTCGAGACATTTATCGGACATTTTCCAAGAAATTTGAAATATTCTTTTGAAATGGAAAATTGAAAATTTCAACGAACAATTTTTCGACTTTGGAAACAACCCAAGTGGCAAACATTTCTCGTATCATCTTTCGTTCACTTGATACAAAATTAAAAATTCGAAAAATTTGGAATGTTGGAAAAAATTCTGAAAAAAGATGAAAAG